GGGCTCAACCACCTGGGTAACGAGTGGCTACCTCTGGAAGAAAACATTGCTGATCTGGCTACTGGATTCCAAAACTTTGTAACATCAATATCATTACAAATATATTTCCTACCTGTTCTGTATATTTATATTATTTTGTATTTTTTATATTGTCATTTTTAATAATGTTTGTGGGCACAGGACATACTCGAAAATGAGATAAATCTCAATGTATCCTTCCTGGTAAAATATTTTGTAAATAAAAAATTTCAAAACCATAGGTTTCAGGAATGGTTAATGCAACTTAATCTGTCAGAATCCCTACATCTCAGATCTTTAAACCTGTATTTGCATGAGTAGATTCTGAAAACCTCTTCTGCTGCAAATCCCTAGAGATCTGGGTGGGCCAGAACTGGTTTACAAGACGTCCTTCACTCTTCTACAAGAGAGGCAATGAGCAGTCCTTGAAAATTAAAGACAGCAGGAAATATAGCCTCTTTCTTTAGATACATCATCTCCTATGTCGCTAAATGGAATAATTGGAACACTCCACTGTATAGCACATTGGCCTAGGAATGTCATTCTGACATTCAAGAGTTAAGGCAATCTGGAGTATGTCAGGAGGCACCAGGAGAACATTAATTCTGCGGTTGCAAGATCCTGGTGGAAATGATGTGGCTTCCAATTCATAGACATTGATCGTGCTGGAAGGTAGTCTGTGCTGAATCAGTAATGCACTCAAAAGGCAAACAGGCAAAGGCTTTAGATCCTTTCCAATGTCGATTTAATGAGGAAGCACCGTAACCATGGTTTTTGTTCCCCTGGAGTTCATCAGGAGGTGCAAGAAAGAATCAATTACATGATAATGGCTTCACAAGGAAAAAAGGCACATATTTATCCATTTTGTAAAGGAAACAAAATATATTTATTTAAGTGGAAATGGTTTCTTCTTAAGGATAACTACTAAGTAATAACTTGCAATTTTCTATATATCAAACATATATAGTGTAGCAAAGCATATAGAGGAATTTTTATATGTACATCTCAAATCAATATCCAAATAGGTTATGGTGGGGAAAAATTGTGATTGAAAACCCCTTCCACCTGAAGTCTGTGGATAGTTAATACAATGTTAAACAAAAATCTGCACACCAGTCAAGCCATAAGACTTGCTTTTCCCCACAGAAATCCCAAATCTGCAGTGATGTTACAACCGCAAAGGATTCTGGGTGGGCATATGCAAATTCGTTTATCAAAGAATCACATTTTTGCCTCATTCCATTTTAAACATGGATTCCTTTTAATCTGTGTTTGCAGTATACAACTGCTTGGAACACAATTTAGGAAAAGATGCAAAACCAGTGAACCACTCATGGACAGGGGTTTTCAATCACAATTTTTCCCCACCATAACCTATTTGGATTTTTCTTCCCAAGCCTCAATAAGCAAACCAGTAACCAACCTCATGCTGAAGAGTTGCATTAACAACGAAACAGCTGTCCATGAGTGTGTGTATATACACATACACACATATACACACACACACACACACACACACACACACGGTAGTCTGGCACAATGGAAATTCATTAAAAAATAAATAAAAAGGTGGGGGGAAGGGGAACTATCCTTCCTGTCTGAGACAAAATAGAAGTTAGAAATAATTTTGAACAGAGAAAGGCATAATTTTACACAAGCATATTGTTGCAAAAAAAGAAACAAACAAAAACTACATATACACCTATTCTAATAATTCAAGGCATTCTGTAGGAATCCCCGATTATAAACAAAGGCTCGAGATGGTGAAATATATTAGTACGATTGCCGTAAGCTCTTCACTAGAAAACACGTCTTTGTTCCATTTGAGAATTATTATTTTATTCATTTGCCCCACTCAAACAAAAAACAAATTGCTCTTTTCCTAACATACATTTAAAATAAAAATGAAACAGAAAAAAAAAAAAAAAATGATATTTATAAAAACTATCTAATTCCATGTAGCAGGTTTAACTTGAAGCTCAAAATAAATACTGATATATATTATATACAAGTATTAAGATAATTATAAAAATAATAATAAAACAAAAAAGAGGTCTTATAATGTAAGCCATCCAATTTTTACACTTTTTTATTCAGGCATTTAGCGGACACATTTATCATAAATGCAAAATATTTTATGATGTTTTTTCCATTCTAGCAAGGAAGCCGTCACAAAGAATTCAGCCATCATATCACCGAATATCACTAAACATCAACTCAAAGAGAGCAGTAGCGTCAGAATGGAAAGCCACGATGACAGCTGCACACAACGATAAATGATTTGAACAGACATACCTTTGACTATTTGCTTTGCACAGGCGTTGTAAACTTTTTCCTGGGATGTGTTGGGGGCAAACACTTTATCGAACACATAAGGTTTAGATTGCTGAAAAGGAAAGATAACAAAATGGGTCAAAAACCTATAAAAACGATAAAAAAAACAAAAAAAAAACAGATAAGACTTTAGCAAATAAAAACAAAAACAGTGAGTAAGGACAGTTTGTTTTGGGCACAGAGTGTAATAAAAAAACCAAGAATAGTCAAAAATGGAATATCTTGCCCTAAGGTTAGTCTTCACGTAGCGCTCAAAGAAGTTTTGGGTTCTTGTGCCGTTAATGAGGGAATCTAAACCATTAACATTAGTCTGATCCCACTGGTAAGGATAGTACTGAAGAGAGGTGTCAGGACGCAATGGTACTTGCCTTCTGGTCTTGACAAGGTGATGTAGATGGTACCCTATCCAGGCATCGTGAGTATATACAAACAGGTCAAAAGCAAGGGTTTATAAGAAACAAACAAGCCTAAACTGTGTAAGAGAATAGTGTTCCTTTAAATTCTGTTTTGACAATTTACATAATCTTTTGGAACTCACTGGTAACTTCAAACAAAGTAAGTCTTAAAATTCCCAGTGATTTAGATTGCAAAGCAGACAGAGTGAAACATGTTTCAGTGACAGAGTTTCTTTAACAGTCATCTCCAATTGGGTGTCAAGGTGACACCATTTATTTGTAGTTTTAGCAGAACTTTTCAACAACAAAGTCCAGAGGTTATCTGTGTATACATTATTTTCTCCCGAGCACCAAGAAGAATGTGAATACAGAGACAGACATATAATGAAACGGGAAGGAGAAAGGGATGCTTACTAAGTACCATCACTGCCAATTTTTTGAGGATATACTTCAAAAAGGTAAAAGTGGCCGAGATTAGACATTTTTAACAAATATCAAAGTAATTTCAGGGGCTGCGTGTATTATTATCCCTTTAATTCAGGCAGGGCTGTCAGACCCAGAGAATTCCTATTGTGTTTCAATAAGCCTCCATAAGCCAAAAAACAAAGACAAAAAAAAAAGTATGGTATTTAACAAACGTAGTCATCAGCATTTCTGTCCCCTGCAATCCCTTTAAAACAGGCTGGGACAATAGTGTAAATGCCGTAAGTTTATAATATAATAAAAAAAAATTATGATTGTTCATAGTTTAAAGAGAAACCTTTTGATGGGCTTAAATTTAAATGAATGTGTGGTTTGTAAATATGAAAAGGTTTTTCATTTTACAAAAATTGTAGACTTCAGACACTTTTATACATTAAAATCGTTACTACAACTAACTGTCAATCAGACAACAGGTATTGGAACTTTCTGGTTGTGTAGTTCAGTGGAGGCAGCAACTGCCCAGAGCACCTCATTGAGCTGCATTAGGAAGTCTGTGATTGGACCAACAGAGAAAGTCTGGACTGGGGGGGGGGCAGTAGAGTGTCCCTTTAAGTAGATATGAATGGCCAAGTGATGGATGACTGGTCTTGTTTGTCAATCAATATTCCTACCCGCCTGTATGGGATTGTCTAGCCAGCACATGTGGTCAGGAAGAGTAATAAACAGCTCCTAAAATTTGCTTAAAAAGGAACACTATAGTCGCCTAAATTACTTTAGCTAAATAAAGCAGTTTTAGTGTATAGATCATTCCCCTGCTCTATTCACTGTCATTTAGGAGTTAAATCACTGTTTCTGTTTATGCAGCCCTAGCCACACCTCCCCTGGCCATGACTGACAGAGCCTGCATAAAAAAAAACCAAAAAAAAACCAAAAAAAAAAAAAACCACTTACTTTCAGAGTAATTTACCTTAAATAATTGTATCTCAATCTCTAAATTGAACTTTAATCACATACAGGAGGCTCTTGCAGGGTCAAGCAAGGGATAAGAAAATCTTAATTAAACAGAACTTGCAATAAAGAAAGCCTAAATAGGGCTCTCTTTACAGGAAGTGTTTATGGAAGGCTATGCAAGTCACATGCAGGGAGGTGTGACTAGGGTTCATAAACAAAGGGATTTAACTCCTAAATGGCAGAGGATTGAGCAGTGAGGCTGCAGGGGCATGTTCTATACACCAAAACTGCTTCATTAAGCAAAAGTTGTTCCGTTGACTATAGTGTCCCTTTAATACACATAAAAACTACAAACACAGTAAACTCTCCATGGGAACACTAAAAGGACACATTTTTGGAATGACCTTGACTCCCTGACTCAAAAATTTAAGTGCAAAAAGTCTTGCAGTTATGTAATACAGTGGAGGGCTAGAGCTGGCGAGAAGGAGGTCGGGGAACACCCTCATTGCGGCAGTATTCAAGATTTGTGGGCTGTTGCAACACTGTAGAATTCTTCTGTCAATTAAAAACAACTAGAGCCGGTGTTCTATCATTCTACTCTACTCCGTCAGATTTCTATACCCCCGTCACTTCCGGGGAGGGGAATCAGCTGGATCCTGTGCTGCACATGCGTGCTAGCACTCCTGCTACTCCTCCACAGCAAGGTCCTGGAAGGTAAGTAAAACTATTTTTACACTTTCATTATAATTAGTTCATTCACTAAGCTTAGGACATGGGACATTTAGGGTTAAGTGAGGGTTCAAATTTTCTGGAGCCTAAAATCAGCTCCAGATATATGCGCTTGGACGGTACAATCCTTGTCTGTGGATATGCTGATCCTGGACTCTGTGTTTATCCTTCGGATATCCAATGTTGCTGGGTGCTCTTTGTTACATTTAAATCATCCTAAAATAGTGCAGTACTGGGCTGTACGAGAACATTAGTGTTTGTTCAATAAGCACCAAATGAGATACTAACCGCTAGCACAAGGCTTTTTGCCACTTTCTTGACTATGGTCAGTTATATACAAAGACTCCGCTTCCAAGAGTATACCCTGGAAGAAGACTCCACCAGGTACATAGGCTGTTATAAAGTAAATGGTATAAGCCAGAATCATATTTACGGACTAATGGAAATGATTTTACCAGTCACAACAACGGAGTCAAGGCTCCCACTAGACTGACCGGTACTGTATTATGTTACAGGGAATCATTCTAAAATATATAAACACAACGTAAGGAAAACACCACAAACAAAACATAGATCAATTTAAACAAGCATTAAATAACAGTCTCAACTATATGAGCATCTGATATATTTATGTTAATTTTTTATCATACATAATAACTAGGTTAAGTGGTCGCTGTGCTAAAACCACTAAATCCCGGTGTGCCCTAAACCCATTTCAAACATTATTTGAGAAATTAAAGGAACACTCCAATTATTAAAAAGAAAACAAACAAAAAAAAAAAAGACACACACACTCTCAGGGTGTATCGCTAGGTCCATATGTATCTATCAGTGGACCTAGCGACACACTCTCAGAGAGACTTCAATTTCCAGACCAGAACTGGAATTATACTGATGAGACCCAAAAGGTCTCCATGGCTGGTTTGTGGTCACTGGTCATTTTGGATCACAACCCACGCTCTGGTAAAAACAAAACAAAAAACACACGTCTGTGTATTTTTTCTTTTTATAAATACACATTTTTCTTCAGCAGTCCAACGCGTTTTTCTCAAAGTCATATCTTTTGCCAAAAACAAACTATTTTAGAGCAGATGACACCAACAAGAATCTCTCCATCTGCTGAACGTCAGTGCTTTGATACCAGCCAGCAATAGGACATCCAGATGTCAGTTTAGTAATGTCTTAGCAAGAAAGGCCAATCTGTAGCATCTGGGTGGGTGAGGAGGCATCATCTATACACCAAAACTGCTTCATTAAGCTAAAGTTGTTTTGGTGACTATAGTGTCCCTTTAAGTAGCCTATTCTGAAAAGTCTGACAAAGTCTTAGGAAAACATGCCATGCTGTCAGAATGTTTAATGATGGCTGGCTAGGCATTGTGGGAAGTGTAGTTCATAAACAAAGGACCCAACCTCATTCAGAATAGGTCCATACAATTCAGGCCATGAAGAAAGCATGTTAAACCGGCTAGATTTCACGGTCCTACCTTAGAAATTAGTTCTGTTATGCTATGGACACTTAGCTCCCAGCCCTGGGCCTTCAACACCAAGTTTTACATAGAAAGATTTAAAGACAAAAAGAAACAAAAAAAGTATATCATGGAGTAGGGTAGAAAGGAGTACAAGTGTTTTCCAAGAACCATTTGGATAAAAAAAAAAAAATGAAATTTTTAGGCCCAGTAATAACTGGTTCATTGACAGGAAAGTGGAAATATTTGAAAAATGATAAAAAACAAAAATACTTTGTTTAAGCAAGAGCCTCTTTTTGTTTCACGTTTTCATTTTCTCATCGTAAGGTGCTTCAGAATATGTTGACGCTATATAAATAATAATTGTAAGCTCTTTCCCCCCCCTCTCTTGTTTTTGACAAATATCCCACTGTCCCCCTCCATGAGCCAAACCATTGCACAATACCTGGCCCCTAGCCCAGAATGAGCTTTTCTTGTCTCTAAGAGAACTGTTGGGGATGTCAATCAGCTGGTTATCTGCAGAAGCCAGACTGCACATGTGCAGTGATATCACCCTCTCCAATGCTAAAGAGGCTGCACCAGCCAGAATATCTCCTCCAATGCTAGCACAATAAACACTGTAACCATGTAAAAGAGAGGTGCTCCCCCAACCCTACATGCAAATCTACATAATGCCTGCAATAGTTTCTTGTGGCACCCTTGGGTGCTCTTTATATAAAATCAATAGATAAAACAGGTGACAAACCAAGATATGGTAAGTTTCACGTTAACCCTTACAAGGAATTCATTATCCAACACGTTAACCCTTAAAAGGCTAATCAGGCCTTGTACAGAGAGCACATGTCATTCTTCCATTTTTTTAATTAAATTTTTTTGCATGAGTCATGTAGACAGCCGATTTCAAAAGGTGTGAAAAAAAAAATAGAATAACGTGATTTAAATTCTGATATGGTTAACTCTTTGTATCACATGTTAGTGTGCAATGCAATTAAATATTTAAAGATGGCTCTAGGCCCAAATTTAAAAAAAAAAAAAAAAAAAATATATATATATTTTTTTTTTTATTTTTTTTTTTTGTTTAATTTCAACAATATAAAATTAACTCGTATTCGCCATATTTACACAGGCATCAAAATTATACGATAAATTAAATATTTACTGATGGGGAACATCCATTATTAAAACGAACTCCCATGCAAGTATTTGTACAGCTGGTGGGGGTTCACCTTTCTGGTGCAGCAAGGGTTAAAACAGGTCTAAATCCAAAGATTTCTATTAACAGTGATTACTAAAAGAAACCGAACATTAAACAGGTTCTTTTATGATAAATAAGGAGCAGTCTGTGCATTTACTGTGTTGTCTAGGGGACATTTTCATTGTCTGATGAACAAGAGATTTCCCAGAGATTCCATTTATTCCCAGTAATTGCTCACCAGGGCTGCATGTGGTGAGCTGTGCAATGACATTGGGGTGGGAGGAGGGGGCTGTTAAAGATGTCATCTCTCTCTCTGATTTTCTCTTGTTACTTTGTAATACAAAAAAGGTATAGTCTGCACATCCAGCTATCCACACCCAAACATTGTGCCCTAATGAGTTAAATGTCATCATGCAACGCATTTCTTTGGCATCTCATGAGTTAATTTGTAGTCAATGGCAAGCAACACCCTCTAATGTAATTTTATTTTTCTGGTCAACCTTTGATTAAGGCTCTAACAGATTGCAAACAAGAATATATATATTTAATAATTTTTTTGGTAAATAGGTATTTTCCATGCACACAGACTTGCAGACTGTGGATAGCAGAGAATGCCATCAGCCCTATTGGGCAGACTATGCACCATGTTACATCTCCTGAATGCATAGAGGGGGATCCCTCCTCAGACACCCCCAATGCAGAACACCTGCCCATACAATAATACAGACTACTTACCCCAATCACTGTTGTGTCATCTCCTTTGAAGACAGGGATGAACTTGTCCCCTCTGTGAATTTCTGCTTGATTTAATGGTCTGAACCTGCACATCACTTTGATGCTGCATTCTGCTGGGTCTGCCATGTTACATGTGGGGTCAACTCAACAGCAATGTCTGGCTTCCAATCTGATGCATAAATATCAATCCAGCACAGGGAACAAACAGCTCTCCACCTTTAGCAAATCATCTCATCTTCTCCCAGGGGCTGAGATCCTTAGCCCCATGTATTGGATGATGGCAGAGCTGTGTACCTTTATCACCCAAAGTGATGCAGCTTCTCCCACCCCTATCAATGCCAGTCCCTTTCTGCAAGATCTGCCATCCTGCATCAGCACCACCAGCGCTCTAGCAGATCCAGAGCTTTGTCACTTGTCTGCATCACCCCAGCCCCTCCTAGCTCACGTTTCCCAGCGTCATGTGCAAGACCTGCTGGGATATGTAGTTATTGATGTAGCCTGGTCACTGCACAGGACTGATATCCTCCTGTAGGTTCCATCTGATCTGGGAGGATTTGCAACAATGTTGCAAATATGTCAATACTATGAGCATAATAGAATGATAGAATAATAGCATAATAGAATGCTTCCCAATACAATGTTGCTCTTGTTTACAAACAGTTAACATGGCAGAAGCCTAGCTATAGCCTCAATTTAATAATTTAATACTTTGAAAATATTATTGACATTTTAAAAAAATAAAATAAAATGTAATATTATATATATATATATATATAAAAAAGAAAATTGTATAATGTTAGTTATGTAATATAATTCTGATGACATGTATGTTTATATTATTCGTTAGTAGGGAATTCACAATAAAAATTTAAATTTTAATCCACTACAGCAAAACTGGAAAACTGATGCAGCACAAACACAATTTTTCCAGCTGAGCGACTTCGGAAGTGAAATCTGCTTGCCAATTCCCAATGATTGATAGTTAAGAGCATAGCAATGATAGCTGTCTGAAGGGGTTTATTTACTGAACAATTAAATAAAGTATCCTGAATACAGAATTGTAACATTCAGGCTGATTTGGAAAAAAAAATCCCAGGTGCATGGTTATAAAAGGTCAGGTTCTCCAAAACTCGCCCAGAGTCCATGTTTAAAGGGACACTGTAGACACCCAGGCCACTTCTGCCCATTGGAGTGGTCTGGGTGCCAACTCCCACTACCCTTAACCCTGCAAGTGTAATTATTGCAGGTTTTTATAAACTGCAATAATTACCTTGCAGGGTTAACTCCTCCTCTAGTGGCTATGTACTAGACAGCCACTAGAGGGCACTTCCTGGATTATAGCACAGGTTTTTTGTGCTAGAGCGTCGCTGGACGTTCTCACGCTATGTGAGGACCTCCAGCATCACTCAATTCCCCATAGGAAAGCATTGCCACGCATTAGGTCTCCTCAGCCGGCGGGCGGGATCAGTCTCACCCACCGGCTGACGTAAGGAAGAGGAGGAGCGTCGGGTCTCAGGTAAGTGACTGAAGGGGTTTTCACCCCTTCAGCAACCGGGGATGGGGGGTGGGAGGGAGGGAGAGGGGTCCTGCAGTGCCAGGAAAACGGATTGTTTTCCTGGCACTGGAGTGTCCCTTTAAGGTTAGATGACAATCAGTATTGGTTAGGGGTACCAGACATGCTATGTGTTTTATTTCCCAACATTCACAGCCAAAATCTGGATTAGAGTTATGAGAGTAGCACCATGCCATGATACCATGATAAGTTACTGAACTATACATTGAGACTAAGTAACAACCTTTGCAGGCAACCTTTGGCACGCTAGATATTGTGGACTACATCTCCCATAAAGTGGACAGAGCATTCTGGGAGATGTAGTTCAATACATCTGGAGTGCCAAAGGTTGCCTGACCCTGAAAGAACACACTCATTGTGTGCATGCCTGGCTAAAAAGTGTGGCACACTTGTGCATTTTGCACAGTTATCCCCAACACTCTAATGTATCTCTATACCATCCAAGTATCACGGTAACTCTACATGTTCAGTATAACTTTCAGCAGTGGCAGATGGTGAATTTTAAGATGATAGAGTTTCAGAGTCCTTCCCCAGAATTTCACTCCTCCCTATACAGTACAGAGATACTCATACAATACACAGAGTTGAGCATAATACAGATATTCTCATTCAATAAAACAATCTGGGCACAACATAAAGTGATATCTATGAAATACACAGAGCTCAGTACAATACAGAGATAACCATGCCACAAACAGAGCTGAGAAAAATGGAGATATAATAAACAGAGCTGGGCACAACACAGAGATACCTATACACAGGGCCGGACTGGGAGAAAAATTCGGCCCGGGCATTTTTTTAACACAGTGGCCCACTAAAAAGGGGGCGGGGCAGAGGAGGTGTGTTTTGTCACCAATGACAGACACGCCTCCTCTCAAAGTGAGCATGTTGGTTCAATGCTCTTCCAGGGCAGACCATGCGCAGAGCTCTGCTGAAGAGCTCTAGCATGAGAAAAAAATCCTGTATTTGTTTTGCACAGTGCAAGCAAATTTAATAACATGCTTGCACTGTGTTTCCTTGCAACTTGTCTCTGGTGTCTATAAATGGATACCAGGAGACAAAAGGCCAGGAAAGAGTATTGTGCATGTGTTTGGAGCCTGCTTGTGGTATTGCGTGTGTGTAGAGTGAGCTGGTCATGGTGTGGTATTGTGTAATAAGGTCGGTTTTAGTCGTGTTGTGTTTGTGGTGTAATGTGATGCATATGTGGCTATGGGCTGTAGAGAATGTGTGTATTGGGGATATAGCAAGTGTGTGCATACAGGCTATAGTGTGTGTGTGTTTAGGGGTGTAGAATGTGTTTGCTTACAAGGAATCTAGTGTGTGTATAGGGGATCCAGAGTGTGTATGTTAAAGGACCACTATAGTGCCAGGAAAACATACTCGTTTTCCTGGCACTATAGTGCCCTGAGGGTGCCCCCACCCTCAGGGACCCCTCTCGCCCGGCTCTGGAAAGGGGTTAAAACTTACCTTTTTCCAGCGCCGGGCGGGGAGCTCTCGTCCTCCGATCCGCCCCGTCGGCTGAATGCGCACACGCGGCAAGAGCTGCACGCGCATTCAGCCGGTCGCATAGGAAAGCATTTATAATGCTTTCCTATGGACGCTTGCATGCTCTCACTGTGATTTTCACAGTGAAAAGCACGCAAGCACCACTAGCGGCTGTCAATGAGACCGCTGCTAGAGGCTTTGGGGGAAGGCTTAACCCATTGATAAACATAGCAGTTTCTCTCCATTTAGGGTGCTTGTGCATTCTTAACCCCGAAGTGCATAACTTTGCATTTCTGTACGTTAAATTTCATCTGCCATTTTAGTGTCCAGTCCCTCAATCTATCCAAATCCCTCTGCAGCAAAGCAATATACTGCTCACATTTTATTACTTTACAAAGTTTTGTGTCATCTGCAAACACTGATACGTGGCTTTTAATGCCTATTTCAAGATCATTTATAAATATGTTAAATAGAAGTGGTCCCAAAACAGAACCCTGAGGGACACCACTTACCACTTTTGTCCAGCCTGAAAATTTACCGTTAATGACAACTCGTACTCTATCCTTAAGCCAATGTTCTACCCAAGAACAAGAATATTCATCTAGGCCAATTTCTTTTAGTTTTAATTTAATGCAGCAATATACTGAAAAACTCATTACTTTTAGAGATGGCAATATAATTAGTCTGGTAATATGGAGCCAAGAAGTAGCTGAACTGGTTAACAAAATCAACAATCGTTACAGATTAAAATCAGAATCATATCAGTCCTCAAAGTCACAGCCCCAGTCCTGCAGTTAGAAGCTTCATAACTTTTAAACTAGCCACAACATGAGTATCTCAGGTGTAGAGTTATTGAACACTTTAACCCCTTAAGGACACATGACATGTGTGACATGTCATGATTCCCTTTTATTCCAGAAGTTTGGTCCTTAAGGGGTTAAAGAGGATACTGGGTATGTGCAGTAGGAGTTATTACAACTATTAGTGACAGGCTGCACAGTGCTGTTTGTCAGGAATGCCCCCTTTTCCTGACTCATGGGCTTCCCTGGCTTTATATATTAATAATATATTTGAGTGCATTCCTTTTCTTTATCAGCCCTCAGGCAGTCACTGGGAGAGAAAATTAATAATATGATACACTTATATATGGCAGGGGCCAGGAGCTGCTGCATGCTCTCTGTGTTACTTCCAATATGGCTTCTTTCTTCTTTCTCCTGTGGACAGTGTAACCCCACCACAGATGGCCCCTGAATAGAGAGGCCAGTAGCATGCCTTCATTCATGGGCAGCTGGCTCTGCTGTCCAAATCGCAACATAAAGTAAATTCCTTCTTAATCTCTTAACCCGTTACGGCACTGAGCCCTGGAGAGCCTGGGATACTTACCTTCCCAGCACTCCACTTCGGGAGGACTGCCTGACAGCCCAGGCAGCCCTCCCTTGCTGAATCAGGCCCCAGGGGGCCATGTGATTGCTCTCACAGTCCCCCTGCTGGTGGGAAGATTAAAAGATGTATTACACAAATAAATATAATTAAAAATACATATATCTATGTGTATTATATAGATTATATTTATATATATATATATATATAACTTCATACTTACTGTATTTACTGTTAATATAATTACATATATTAGTATTAAAATACACTTAGAATGAAGTTACATATACGGTGGGGGGTGGGGGGGGGGGCGTATTTGATCCCCTGCTGAACGTTTGTCCAGTGACAAAGAAATGATCAGTCTATAAATTTAATGGTAGGTGTATTTTAACAGTGAGAGACAGAATAACAAAAAAGAAATCCAGAAAAACACAAAGTTATAAATTGGTTTGCATGTCAATGAGTGACAAGATTGTAGAGTTGCCAGAGTCCACCATTTTATTTTAGGATGGTGTTCCCCCCTTCAAATAATAGGAATTAACCATTGTGTATTGACATTTCTTTTATTTCAAACATTTTAGATCTTCCTGTACATTTCGAACATTGAGTCTTGTATAGTTTGCCACACGTGTGCAGTAAGTTAGACTTATTCTGGAGTTATTAAATATCTTTCACTAAATCACTCTGTGATATTAAAATTTCACCAAAAACACCAAGTGCCCTCAGTGAATAAACAGTTTAAATGTCTTCCCTCTGAGTTGTAGATTGTGACCCAAAGATCTCCTCAAATCTTCCACAAACACATAAATACACAAATTAGCGTCAATCCAACTATAGGGAAACAAAAAATAACATAGTGCAACTCCGTATGAAGCTTCTACAGTAATAATGTTAGCCAAATGGATCACTCACACTTTGACTGAATGAATAAGGCGTATCAAAAAATCCATGTAGCTCTCAGGCAGTGTTCTTACTCCAATGCATGAACTTCCAAGTCTCAGTAATACAAAGAGATAAAGATACATCCAAAATGAAAAGTGAAGAAATGTGTACAAAGTAAAAAATATATTTATTACTTACACATAAGTTAGAATCAATCAGCATAATATTTCATAAACTGTCCACCATCTGTCCAACGTGTTTCTTCCCACTGCTGGGACTTCCTCAGGGACTTTACAGTAATGTTGACAGGTTAAACAATAAAAATAAATGAATAAAAGTTACAAGTATCCCCCTCCCCCTTATATACACCCCATAATCAAGTGAGAGTTCTCTCATTTGGCTAACATTATTACTGTAGAAGCTTCATACGGAGTTGCACTATGTTATTTTTTGTTTCCCTATAGTTGGATTGACCCTAATTTGTGTATTTATGTTATTAAATATCTAATGGAATCAACTCTTCATAGCAACTAGCCACCTGGATTCTGCTACCATGCAACCTCTGATTGCCTGCCTCTTGCTACTCAATCCTTTCCATGTCCACATAGCCTTTCTTCTGTCAGTTAGGTAGTGACCCAGACATTTATCTTCTCTTTTAGCTGAGATTCTTCTTTTTTTACTTTAACTATGCTAGTAAGTGTCACATACTGATTAAGAGATCTTCAAGCTGGCATAGACCTTGCTCAGATTATATACATGGATTCATACTGAAGGAAATTTTAATCTACAGAGGTAACTGCTCAAATGTTAATTTGGATATTAAAAAATGACATTTACCGGGGCGGAGCATGCCCTTCAAATGGACCAGACATATGGTACACAAGCTCTTGACCACTGGGCCGATTTATGGGTGCAAATACCGGCCACCAAGCTTCTGAACAAGTTTACTTGTGTCACACAGGTCGGGGGTTCTCGGATGCACACTTTGAAACCTTACTCGAGATTACACTCCACCAAGACCCAGAGGACTCCAGTTGCTGCCTGCTGCGGGTGGAGTGGGGGAGAAGCGGCCAATCTCCTGCCTCCCCCCACTGGACTGGTGGGGGATATCTTGGTCCCCACTGGACTGTCTGGTGCTGTACAGCTGCACACACCACTTACAGTCACACTGTGCTGTAACCCAAACGCCCGACCAGCATTACGATCATCCAAGATTCTCCACTGATACCCAGGGTCTGGGCCTGAATCAGCACCCTCACTGTGGCTCTGTTGAACTTATCCTGCTACACTTAGATAGGTTGTTCCAAGGCTTTTGGTTAAAATTTCAATAACGATATCAAGCATCCCTACCTCACTAAAAGTCTGCTGACAGGAGAAGCCTGCAGCCAGAGAGGAGAGGGCCTCTTCAGGGCTATAATTCAAGTCAATGACCCACTTACGGTCCGCCTCCGTAGACAGAGAGCCACCCGAGGTTTTTTGTCTTTCCATCGACCGTGCCGGCAAAGGATTGTCCGCCGACACAGGCACTTACCAAATCGATCTCCGAACAACCCCCCGCAAGGGAGAGCCTTGGAGTCTACCAGCTCGCAGGTCAGCGGTACCGTAATGCTGACTCTCACGCAAGTCTGGGGCTTGGGAGAAGCCCATCTCCAGAGCTGCCCTGCTGGAGCCAGAGTGAACTCTACTGCTTCCAGTACCTACACACCATTTTATGGGATCGGCTGATCCGATTACTTTCATGCAAATTGCCCATGCTATATAGATGCAGCTGCCGTCTTGTTAGACATTAGTATTGCTTCTTCTTATTCTTTTATGTTATACCATGAGCACAGCATATATCGTTTATTTGTATTCCTTGGCACCCAGTGGCACAACTGCTCACTGTCTGAGAGGGGTTCAGAGTCAACGAGAGTACTCTACTTCATATATTCCGTTTTTCTAACTGGTTTCCTACTCTCACAAGCCTCCCTTAATAGCATGTTTCTTTTTGTTCATGTCATGTATAGCTAATCACCTTAACGTGGGGGTACAGAATCTGCTCCTGAGTCAGACATACCTGTTAATCCGGTTGTATTACTCCTGTTATTTGATTTACATAAAAATGTGCACATTTATTCCATGCCATGATACCATGTCTTCATTTATATCACTATAAGCCGGTCATTGATGTTGTGGCTCTGTTTGAACATTCCTGCACTAAAAAAAATAAAGAGTGACCAAAAATAAAAATATGCCATTTATCAATGTATTGGTTTTATAGTCTCAGTGTGTCTTACTGTCTATGATTCCTCTATTTCTTGCATTCTCATTGTAGCAATAACCCACATCTCCCATAAAGAGTTTTCCTAAAAAATGCTTTTATCTTCACTCCAGTTGAGATATAATGCAGGCTCCAACATTCATACTCCCATATACTATTAATTCATCTCCTTCTATATCCATCTGAATCATGGCTCTTCCTACATCAATCTCATGCTATTGTACTGCCAGGGCCGGACTGGGAACTAAAAGCAGCCCTGGAAAAAAAATTCTACACCAGCCCAATAATGCGTTGCGCCAGCATAGTGTGCTGATATAAAGGATGAAAAAATTACTTAAAATTGAAAACTATTATTAGTATTATTATTATTACTTCATCCCAGCCCCTGTGTGTTTTTTTTTTTTTACCCTTCTCCAGCCTCTGTATGTCTCTTTCAGCCCCTTTTGTGTATGTCTTAGCCCCAACCCCTTTGTCTCTCCCCTTCCAAATCTCATATGCGTGTCTCTTTCTAACTCCAGACTCTGAGTCGCCTCTTTATCTTCTCCCAGCCACTCTGTCTCTTTTTCCCCCAGTCCAGCGTTGCCTCCCACAAATCATGTGTCACTTTGTTCCCCCTTCCCTTCTGTATGTCTTTGTCCCCCCAACAAACCTTCTGTGTGTCTCTCTTCCCCATCTCCTCCCTGTGTCTCTTTGTCCCCCTTCCCCTGTGTCTCTATTACCCCTCTGTCTCTTTGTCCACCCCCCAATGTCTCTATTACCCCTCTGTCTTTGTCCCCCCTTCCCTGGTATCTCTCTATTACCCCATCTGTCTCTGTGTCCCCCTTCTCCTGTGTCTCTCTATTACCCCATCTGTCTCTGTGTCTCCCCTTCTCCTGTCTCTCTATTACCCCATCCGTCTCTGTGTCCCCCCTTCTCCTGTGCCTCTCTATTACCCCATCTGTCTCTGTGTCCCCTTCTCCTGTGCCTCTCTATTACCCCATCTGTCTCTGTGTCCCCTTCTCCTGTCTCTCTATTACCCCATCTGTCTCTGTGTCCCCCCTTCTCCTGTGTCTCTCTATTACCCCTCTCTTTGTCCCCCCCCCATGTCTCTCTATTACCCTCTGTCTCTTTGTCCCACCTTCCTAGAGTCTCTATTACCCCTCTCTGTTGTCCCCCCATCCCCGTCCTATTACCCCATCTGTCTCTTTGTCCCCCATCCTCTGTGTCTCTCTATTACCCCTCAGTCTCCGTGTCCCCCCCCTTCCCCGGTGTCTTTCTATTACCCCTCAGTTTCTGTGTTTCCCCTTCCCCTGTGTCTTTCTATTACCCCTCAGTCTCTTTGTCCCCCCTTCCCCTGTATTTCTATTACATCTCTATTTGTGCCCCCCTCCCATTTCTATTACCCTCAGTTTCTGTGTTCCCTTCCTGTGTCTTTCTATTACCCCTCATTCTCTTTGTCCCCCTTCCTGTATTTCTATTACCTCCTAAATTTGCCCCCCTTCCCTGTGTTTCTATTACCCCCCTTTTTCTATGTCCCTGCTGACCTTGTCACAGGAGGACTGAGGGAGGAGGCGGAGCTAACTACCATGCTCCCTCACAGTTCCCACATTTCCCAGCATCCACACATCATAGACTAATCACTACTCTATGATGTGGCTGTGCTGGGAATCATGGGAACCGCAAAGGGAGAATGGTAGTTAGCTCTGCCCACTCCCTCAGTCCTCCTGTGCTGCTGGACCGGTTAGGCGGGCACCTGCCCACCACACTCACTCATACTGACTGCAGTCATGCAGCACGGGAGATGGGGCCGCGATATTATTAAAATATAGGGAGCAGGGGTCCCTCTCTACATGCAGCGCCCCAGGTTCCGCGACCCACCGGGAAATTTCTCAGTATCCCAGTGGGCCAGTCCGGCCCTGTGTACTGCAATCCCAAACTCATTTCCATGATCTCATGTAGTCTCATCACCTCATACTTGTTCCATCTCTGCAGTCTCAATTTTTGAACCATAGCCTCCTCACCCTTATACTAACTCTGCTGAAAAGATGCAAACCGAGAAGAACTATCCCTCTGAAAGGTATTCTATACCTAGAATACAAATCTGTATTACTAACACTTTAGAGGCCTTTGGTCCCCCTTCTGTAGCTATAGGGTTAAAACCAAAACAAGTAAGTCACTTACCCCTTACCAGCAACGACGTCCCTCAGTGCTGGGTTGGTGCTCCACATCTGCTAATGCACATACACGGCGAGTGCATTAGGCCTTCCTATAGGAAAGCATTACTTCAATGTTTTACTATGGGGATTTTACAGACACTGGATGTCCTCTTCCATTGTCAGTTAGGCGACTAAAAGTCCATTAGCAGTCAGGAAATGCATCTAGTGACAGTCTGATTGACAGCCACTAAAAGCAGTCTTATTCCTGCGCTGTGATTATTGCAGTTTCTAAAAAAAAAATGCATGTACTGTTACCCCCGTTACTATTCCCCTATTTCCTATGGTCCTGTTTCTTGGGGACACCTAAGGAAAGCTCCAAAAATGTACTGCTCACATGCATCTACAGATTCATTTATGTTTGCCCCTGTGTTCATCAAGAGGATACTGCGCTCTCCTAGTCTTAAACCATTGTCTCAGAATCTCCATCTCTTACACTTCTCCCAGTATAGGTATACTTAGAGGCTGTGTTCATGTAACAATCTAAAAATTATGAACGTTCATTTGTTGCAATTGCATTTTATTTATAATCATTTTAAATGACCCATCTAGGGGCTCTATAATTTTGACATTTATGACACAAAATGCCCAGTCTGCCAGTGGAAGAACCCTTTTTATTTCAGAGTCCTTGGCCAGATTTAAAATCCCAGAAACCAAAGATCCATGCATGGTTATTTACTACCCTGTGGACTTGCAAAAATTCAGGTCGTCCATAAACAAACCATACTGTCCAAATAAAAATATTTTATCCACACCTGAATTAATCAATTCGCCTTAAATGTTCCAGATAAATTGATTAATTTGGTTGTGGAATAAAAGGATGTCGATCAATGGTTCATTTATGAATAACCCAAATTTTAGCAACATTAAGCTTTAAACAACTGAATTGAAAAATACTCGTGATGTCGTAGCGGATTTTAGCCTCAATTGTACAAAACAGATTTAATTCACTAACATTGGAGTTTAGTTAATAACCCAGATAGCCTTAACCAAATATAGACTGTAGGCGTATGCAAATAAAATATTATTGTACTGAAATCCATGAAAACGAAAGCTAAAGGTAAATGGAATTATATTGCTAGATATAACTTTCTTTTTTAGTGTATACACACCTTTTTCATCCTCTGATAATTAATCCCTCTGGAACATGATTAGTTTGTGAACCACAGAGCATACTAAAAAGGGACAGAACAAACACTGTTCATTTAGGGCATAGATTCTGTCAATGCAACCTTGTAATTGAAAAGAGGGCTAAGAAATGGCAGAGTTTACAATGCCTATGCGTTCTAGTGGTTATCTCGGGGACTGCCCAAAATAGATTACATTATTGAATCTATTTTGATGGCCGCTGTCAGTACACAATGTATATGGACCCTAGACACCGTGCTTAAATTGCTGCTCTAAGGGAAGCCTATGATTGGACACAGATCACGAAGCTTGATCGCTTCACCAGGAGAGGATTGGGCGGCTGTGCGGAGACTGTCCTAGTGCTGGAATAAAGGTATGTTTAACACCCCCACCCACCATATATAAACTCCCAGTGTTTATGTATGTATGTTTTGGATGACACAGATTAGCAAAGCATTTATAAAATCTATCCAGTAAATGGAAGAGGAAAAAAAATATACACATGTAGATCTTCAGGTTAATTTAGTTGTGTCTGAGAACCATTTATTATTGGCTGGACTTTATCTGACATATAGTAATCATCGTTACAAACTTTGCACACTGTGCAAAAAACACATTTGCGCAAGGCATTAATGTTTTGATATGTATTTTATTTCCCTGCAGTTTTCACTTATCAAGAACAAGTAACAGGGAAAGTTGTCTGAGCTAGTGCATTAACGAACATTCTGATAAACAACACTACACATACCTAATTTACAATAACAGTATAAAAAATATAAAACAAAATAAAAAAATAAAAAAAATGAAAAAAAAAAAAAATGTAACCACTAAACACTACGAAGGTTTCCAACAATTGCAGTCAGACCATTTCAAACCCGTTACTTGCCTTGTAGCTACAGGAAAAACTCTCAAATTGATAAGTCAATCTTGCCACAGTCCCTTCCCTCCCACCCCCCTTTCACCAGGGATGGCTCGATATTTAGAAGCCCAATAATTATTGCAATGGTATATAATGCAATACATAAATGGTAAAATAATCTTTACTTTGGGTGTTAAGGTTTTGAAGCTGGATAAAATATGCAATTTATGATAAAATGTAAATGGCTGGAAAAAAAACCACGTCTGCACACTTTGTGCGCTAGATACATTAATTTTCCACGTTCCATAGACTTTTGTTTAATTAACTCTTAGAAACTGGTATTATAAATAGAAATATACATTCAAAATATATGGAAAAGTGAGTCACTACATTAAATTTTGTATTATCGATCCATCCCTTACCCCTGCACAGTAATAGAAAATACTATTTTGCCTTGAACTTCATATTTGACAGTGAAATGCCACTAAAATAGTTACCAAAAGGTCCAGATAGTCAAATTGTGAAACAAAATGAACCGAGTGAAAACTTTACATTTTCTTTAGAAAAAAATTACAAGAATTTAATTTCCTAGCTATGAATCTTTAACATTTTGTTTTTTCTTTTTTTGTTGTTTTTTTTTGTTTTGTTTTTTAGACACAAAGTTGGATTTATTTGTACAATATACAAAATGTAAACATGGCAAAATAAATAGTTAAAACAAGTGATGCAGGATCCCAATTCATGCTCATGATCCCATTAAAGATTTTTTTTTTTTTTTTTTAATATCCATTCAGTTGCAAATTCAAGTGCAAAAGCATGATGAAGATGAATATCTACTATTCAAGTAACAGAAAGAATATTGATGATACAAATAAACTATTTTACAAGGTAGTGATTTTCTCCATTTTTACAAAATGTACAAGGTATATCGTGTTAGCTTCCAATATACTGATAGTCCATTTAGGTCCGTGTTAGCGCACTGCCATCTGCAGGGCGCTGCAATTTGCATGTAGTTGGAAAGAAAATGCCTAAAAACGTCAGGCCAAAAGTCCACTGTTTTAAAAGGTTATGTCACTTCCATAGCCACTGTTGTGTCTGCAATTCCATTTAAACCCAATCTTTCTGGTTCATGGTTATCTCTGTAAAATACAAAAACAAAACAAATAAAAAATAAAAGAAGGAGAAGGAGAAAAAGAAGAAAAAAAAAAAAACCTGAATGCATTTATACTTCACAAGATAATATAATCTAGTGTAATCATGCTGGGTCATAGAATATAAATAACCACTAATTTACACCAGACCCTTACCATGCATCCTTGCTTCACTTTACCTCGGTCATTATTTTTCAATTTAAAATATAGTCTTATTAACCTGCTTAACATTTCACCAACTGATTAGTATCTCACAACCACACAATTTTCTGTGATGTCCCATACACGCTCAAACTATCAACAGCATATTCTTCTGTTAGCTTTTTGTTTTACGATTAATTTCTCACCTTTAGAATGTACGGTCACTAGCTAAGTAAGAAATCGGGCGTATCTGGTGCTACCTACAGTATCTGAATTTTTTCATATAGTGCCTTGTTTGCTAATATTGCAGCCATTGATAACAGTATAAATGTAGGATATGCCATTAATGTTTTTAGAATTTATATATCAATAGCAATAAAATAAAGACAGTTTCTAGATAGCTTCTCATATACTGAATGATACTTGGCACAACATGAAATGCAATTAATTTCTGGCCATTCTACATAATTATATGGCCAACTATAGCTAGGTTTAGAAAATATAGTTAACTCTTTGTACCAAACAAAATCAGTAACTATAGATCAAATATTTGGCACATATTGAATAAAAGGTCTGGCAGCTTATATTTGTGGTGTTATCCGTTTTATTGCATGACAACAAGGTATGACAACATTGATGAAAAAAGCTCATAATTTACATACACAAACATGGAAATGTCTGTTAAAACTTTACATGGATGCTTACAATTGCTCCATCAGTTGATAATGGATCTTATTTCTCTTGGCAAAGAATTACAGCTCTATGGACAAGTTTGAACACTTGATTTAAAGTATAAATACAGTCTATAGTTTGGGATAAAATCTTATAAATACAGCTCCGCAACTAATATCTTTCAACCTGCCTGCCATGAAAACCAATATGCTGCGTGTAGTTTGGCCAAAATTTTCTGTTTTCTGCACTACTTCTAAAAGTTACCAAAGTGGTAAAATATAAAAACAGAAATCAGTAAGACAAGATCCCATGCATTCTAATGTTTTAAATGCAGGAGACGATAGAGACTGATAACTGATATTTTTATTAAAAAAATAAAAAAGATACATGGAAAAATGACAAATTGACAACAAGCACAAGTTGTTTTTTCCCCCTCACTGCAAATAAGTCTAGCCATAAGAACTTACAATTAGGAGATTGTTCTTCCAAAGGAAAAATAAAATCGATTTAAGCATATAGGGAACACACAGTAAAATCTTTTGCCAAACCTCTCTCTTCAAAAAAAAGTTTTTTTTAACAAAAAATGGCTTACAACCAGACTTTTATGTCATCAAGTCTATGATTATGTGTAGAATACCTGATGTTGCCCCTTTGAATTGATTTCAGATACCTTTAGAACCTATTCACAAAACTAAGCAGTTGTCTTGAAAAAATTTTTAATATACAGTGTTTAAGTATGTACAGTCACCGGAATAAAATAAATAGCGTGTAAAACATTTTTCTAAATATTTTTATTTACAGGTCAAGGAAAAAAAAAAATTTGTGGGGGGGGGGAGAGAGGGGGGATAATTCTGTACAACCCTACATACAAATGAATTAGAGTGGAGCTTAAAAAGGTGCTTATATGATTAAAAAGCAGACTGTAATAAAGGCACGCTGTAAACATGATTGAGTTCAACGTTTTAATTTTCTAGAAGACTCAAAAAAAAAAATCCCACAACGCATAAAGACAATTGGATGTATGAAGGCCTTATACGCAACAACAATGATGGTACTATAGGTGTATAATACTGTTCTAAATAAACCTCAGTATTTATGCCAATGGAAGATCTCAAGTCCACATCTTGTGAAGGCTCCTTAGAAGTTGGATGATAGATGATTGTATTGGTTTCTAAATGATGGTGAAACAGGAAGATGACAACAATCATAGACGGCACACACAGACTATGATACACACCTTGCTATGCTGCTGATCGCACTGCTTGGAGTAACCTTTGGCACTCTATCCATGCTGGCAGCAACTGTGGCAAGTTTTAAGGCTGTTGGCGATGGTGCTGAAGTCCTTGTATTGATATGCACATTGACAGGTGACACAACACTGACATTGTTGAGGTGAACGGTGGTGGGTAGGCAAGAATTACTCATAGGAAGGGTTTGAGAGTTGCTTGTGCACAATGTTGGAATTAAGTGGTTAGTGGTTGGGTGTCCAACTGTCCTTACAAGCTGAACTGCTGAAATCCCTGGGCTGGATGATAAAGCCATGTTTGTGGAGTACAGCGTTTTAGCGGTCCCTGGAGAAAAAAAAAAAAAGTTAACAAAAAGATATCAAAGATTTAAAAAAAAAAAACAGCAAAAACAAAACAGGAACAAACAGAGCTAGAACATATCACAAGGTTATCATTAAGATATTGCATGCCAGTGTAGACAGCACTACACACAGTGTTATGATGGGGGGAATTATTGTTTATTGTTAAATGGTGATAATTCAGCTTTACACTTGGGCAACCATTTCCCATTTTAATTTCTATTTAGACTTAAATTTATATATGCATCGTTACAACTATATTGATTTTAAGAATGCCACATAATGAAAAGGTATAGAAGTAAGCCAACCCTTGCAAGTGCTCTGTCTTGGCGTCATACTTGATTCTGGCCTCACCTTTGTGCCTCACATCCAGTATGTTGCCAAATCCTGTAGATTCCATCTTAAAAACATATCCGTCCCTTTCTTACGCAAGATGCTACCAAGGAGCTTGTCCATGCTCTAGTCATTTCCTGCATGGATTATTGTAACCCTCTCCTAATTGGTCTTCCCAAAAGCTGTATCGCCTTGCTACAGTCTGTATTGAATGCTGCCTCCAGACTGATTTTCCCCTCTAGTCTGTCCTCTCACACCTCACCCCTCTGTCAGTCCTTACATTGGCTTCCTGTATCCTATAGGAGTCAATTCAAAGTACTAACCATTACCTATAAAGCACTGAACAATTCTAGCCCCTCATATCTTTTCACAGATCTATAGGTATGCCCCTTCTCGTTCTTTCCGCTCTGCCTGTGACTTTCTCCTGACCACTGCTCGCACCCGTACGGTCAACTCACACTTACAGGACTTCTCGCAGGCGACTCCCTCCTATGGAATAGCCTGCCTACCGCCATCAGATTCTCCCCTAGTCTTCAATCGTTTAAGAAGTGCCTTAAAACCCATCTATTTAGGAAAGCTTATGGCCTCCCAGAGTAACCTCTACCTCACATACCCATCTCTTGCTGTCTCCTTAAGGGCAGCACTTTACTCTCTCCTCCAGCTGTGCTTCACTCCCACCTTATCAGATTGCTATTTCCTGTCCTAATGTGTTTTATACCCCACCTCCTATAGACTAAGCTCGTTTGAGCAGGGTCCTCTTCAGTTTTCTTGTAATGGTCCTATTTATAGTTAAATCCCCCCTCTCATAAAATTGCTGGTGCTATATAAATGGCAATAATAATAATAATAATAATCTTATTATTAACAACTGTATTACACTCTAGGGACCCTCATAGGACAACATTACGCTACAGAACAGACAGATTAATGGAGTGCCAATTAAAATGGCAATATTGTCCCCATACTTTATGGGCAGCCTGTTAAAAATGAAAATGTAAATGTTGAGAATGTGTACAGGATATAGACATTTCTTAAAAATAAAAATATTTGTGTATATATATATATATATATAATAAAAAAAAATTCCAAACTAGCCAACAAACCTGAACACACACACAAACCTGGCCAGCCACCCTAAGTGACTCAGTGCACCAACTCCAGACCCAACAACGGGCCAGGACCTGAAAGGCAAAACACCTCTCACATTTGAGGACTCTACTCTCACTTTTTTGCAAGACCTCACGAGAGCCACGGACAAGAGGATCACATACCCCTGTACCATGAACTGGATTGCAAATTGCACGTCTGACCCGTAACTAGCAGAAGACCCAGACAGTGTGGCACAGCACTACACATTTAATGACTTACTGTGGTTTATTTAAGTTAGTATTAGTTATTCTCTTACGTATTATTTTTTTATTATGTTGGCCACACATGTAGAATAACACACACATCCCACCTGGGTACAACACCTAGGAGCATAAAGCCTCAAATCAATCATATTGCTCTTGGTTAATGTAAAAATTACTGCAACACTCCTGCTACGTCTAGCATAAGTCTATTCTTGAATACAACACATATCTTGCTGAATGCATATGTAAATGCAATGCAAAGCAAAAATAAAGAATAAAAAAAAAAATTTTTAAATAAATTCCAACACCAACGATAATATGTATGTAAATATGTTGAACTCTAGTAATATATTTAAATATTTTTAATGCTTGATTAATCCAATATAATGTAAATAGATGTGTATAACTTACATACTTTAAACACTTAGTTAAGCAATAACTAAGTTTCTTTCCCCAGAAGTTATACTGCATTGTGCAGCACATTCACGTTGTGTTCGGTCTTTGCAGTTTAATCTCACCTGAAGGTTGTACAACACCATTCAGGTTGCTGTGGCCTGTATTTTGATCCTTGGTTATTTCGCTGCAGCCAGGAGTTGGGGAGTTTACCACAGCAGATGCAGCAAAATGAGCACTTGCAGAGTCAAGCGTCTTGGACATGCAGTCAGAATTAACAGAGCCCTGCAAAATGTAGATAATATTACATTTTTTTTTTTCCCCTCAAACATAACACTTTTTAAAAATGAACATTGATCAGATCATGAAAGGGTAGTAAAATGCATTATTTTGTTTTTCTGGTTTATTTTACAAGTTATTTGCATTTGCTCTTCCAGCTATTTAAATACAATCTGACTAAACTGCTGTTATATAAGTGAATAGTTAAACTCTGCCAGAAGAACGTGACAAAACCAAACAAACCCAAAAAACTCTGTAAAAGCAATGCGAAAAGAATTGACCCCATATTATTGTTTTTGAAGACACGCTGCATGATTACCTAAGCAAGCACACTGAAAAGAAAAGTGTAATGTATATAAAAGAAAATAAACCTTTGCTTACAACAATACATTTGCCATTGTTCTGCACGATAGTTATTTTTAAAATGTTTGGCTCAGTTTTAGAATATTTCAATGATTGCACTTAACGAATGCAAAAACCCACTGGTATTTTTACAGCACCACTGTGACAAATCTGTAGATCCATTACACAAAGTGCTATTCTGGCAAAAGCATAAATAATATTTACTAGGCCTAGTAAATGACAATATACAGACCTGTACAAACATCTTGCCTGGACAACCTACCTGTGCTTTTGGATGCGTCTGTTGAGAGCACTGTTGAGACTGCTGCTTCTGCTGCATTTGAGCCAATTGCTGCCTCTGCATTTGAACCAATTGCTGTTGATGCGTCTGGAACTGTTCCTCTGTGATGCCCCCTGTGACTACGAATATAGGAAAGAGTTAATAACTTTCATTTTTCAGGGAAGGCAGCTCATGGTAATGTTTTCAGAAGAGATACATTTATGGTAAAAGATATTATTTAAGACACCTTGGAAAACTTAAACAGAGGGGGTTGGATGGCTGCACTGCAGCACATGCTTACAATTTCCTACACAAAACTGTTAATGTGTACATTAGCTATTCTAGTTCCTGAATAAAGACGAACCCCTCACTTCTTTAACAATGAAAGTCAACCCTACTCAAGCATAAAAGCACATGTAAAAAGCATTTTAAATGTTATAACTGATCAAACCAAAATGTGATTTAAAAAAAAAAAGAAAAAAAAGAAAGAAAAGTTCCAGTGCTGACCACAGTTTGACAGTAAAGGTGGTGAGTGTCCCTTTCAGAGATGACATATTTGGATATGACTGCTACATGTTCACATTTGTTCCTGTATTGAATATCACTAATTAGTTGTGTTGAGTAAAGGGTTTTTGGTTCCAAAAGGGAACACAAAATAAATGACCCTAAAGGCCAACAATCTGTTTTCCAGTCCTCTGAATGCCCCCTGCTGGCCACATTTGTCAGTGAATGAGCCAGAAATTGATATCTGTATGTAAAGAAACCCACACCTGGGATGCTCTTATACCCATCAGCAGGCTTCTATAGACCCCACTGATGCACACAAATTGTGTGCATCTTATACCAAGGATTTAGTTATGTTACCCAACGTTAATTACTTTATTAACAGCTTAAAGAGACACTTTAAGCTAAGAAATCCCTTGATCTTAACTGAGAATTATTCCAATTCAGCTATTCTGACACAAATTAATCTGCCTGATTTCTGACAAACAGTTTAGTGAATAAGCATACAACAGAAAAATCAAAATACAAACAATATCAATACATATGTTAAGTAATTTACTTTGGAAAGCGTGTATTCGCATAACATAATTCAAAGGACAGATTAATGGAGTGCCAATTAAAATGGCAATATTATCACCATACTTTATGGGCAACCTGTTAAAAATGGAAATGGAAATGTTGTCTTTTCAAGACCGCTAGTTCAGGAGCAAGGGATGGTAATTTCGATTCATTACAGAGGACTAGGACTATGAAGAAGTACCCTGAGTACACATATCAAGTTGACAACCAGTAGCATACATCTATAGGTGTTAATTTAAAAATCATCTACCACACAAAATGTCATAACACCAAACTGTCCCTGTTTTGGAAAGTTCATCCTGTCAGTGCATGTGCATCAATAGAAATTAGTATGCATCATGCTTCATGGCATTAAATTAATGGACAAACCCAAGTGTGGCAATTCAGTGAGGCCGGCAAATAACTTAATGTGCATTCACAACAGGCTCTTTTTTAGTCATTGGCAGTCTCTTCCACCTATAGGCCTTCTCTTCTCTTTCCCGATTTCATACCTCCCAATGTTGAGGTATGAAGCACTTTATAAGTGGTCTTGGCCTGACATTAAGAAGGCGTAAATGACATTCAATGTAAGAGATAGTGTGAATTAGTGAATTCTTCTGCAATTTGTGCCGTGGTTAAAAAAAAAATATTAAACAAAATAGCAAACCAAAAGTGATTAACATGTAAATTAAAGGATATACAATAAATGGTAGGTTAATAGGATTCCATTACCCGTCAAGCCATTTTTGCTGGTGTTCAATAAAGCTGTAGAAACTCTCTTAATATTCACAGCTTGTCCTACTATCCTTGAGGTACATTCTTCTCCATCGCTGTCTTGAGAATGTAGCGGCCTTGGCTGAAAACACTGCAGTCGACGCGATCGAATATTGCTTAAGATCTCAGAAAGAGAAAGTCTGTTTTCACAATGTTTATCGGAAGCATTGGTCCTTGACAGATTAGGAGGGGACTGTGCAACTTGGGAAGAGCTTGGAGAACTAGAAAACATATCCGGGTCAAGCTGCTTTAGAACAGAGTCATGTTCCGTAGATAGTCTGTCCATTATAACCCTATATAATAAGTTGTACAAAGAAGAAAAAGGAGAGAGAAAAAAATAAAAAGTTGTCATTTCAGATGGAAGGGAACATCAATGAAAAAGATAAACAAAAATTATGAATGCCCTTACCGTCCACCACGGCCTAGTCGCCTCCTTGCAAAGCCTATGCACTGTCTTGGGACTGTAAGAGTTGTAAGGCAGTGCCTATACCGAGACCCAGCCAATCCAGACATTTCTGTATTTTCTGAAGGGTCACTGATTTGGTCCAAACGAGGCTGAAAGTTGGAGACAAAGCAATAAAGCCACACCATTCCTACACAACATTTTATACCAAGCATCGAAAGCTCTTTGATTGAACAGGATTTTTACTTCCATTGCAACAAGCCACAGATTATTAGCTCAAGCTTTGATTTGAAGGTTTTACTTTAAGAATACAGAGTTGGAAAAGAAGGGAGATTATAACTACCGGCAAATGTGAGAAATAAGGAGACCAATAAAATCTATTTTACCAACTGTCATTTACTGTGAAGGTGTGGGCACTTTCAAAAGTGCAGCTTTCTACAAATAAAAATGTTGAGGAGTAAAGACTCACGGCATAATACTGGCATCCAGTTTTCCTTCTAAAAGCATAGGGTCCATCAGGATCACTATCTTCTTCCATTTCGGATACTGGGGAGGGTACCTATGGGAATAAACCATCACTTTTTGAAATGCTCTTTTTTCACATTTCCTATACTGACAATCAGAACACAGGAAAGTTTTAAAAACAAGCAACATATCATTACAAATTTACAAAAGGAAACAGCAGAATGCTTTAAAACATTATTGGTGCATACCTGTGGGAACTCTTCGTCATCAGAGCTTTGGAAGTCATATTGTTTGATGTCACTCTTACTAATGTCTGGCAAGGGCTCTGAGGTGGGTTTGGGCTGAGGCGCGCTGAGAGTGTCTGATTTTGGCTTCTTTGGATATTTCTTTTTTACACGGACAGTTTCTAAAACTTCTTCTTTTACCAACGGATGATGTATATTCTGAACATGAAAATAGCACTAAGTTACATCTTACTCGATCCCACAATTCAACATTGAAACTGTTCTACTTGAAAGTATAAATAAAACATTGCTATTATACATTTGCACTTGTTCAAAGCTGAATTTTAAATCGATTTAAAGAAACATGCCAATGAGATTTACATTTTAATTCTTAAAGGGATACTATAGGCATCAGAACAACTACAGCTTATTGAATTTGTTCTGGTGAGTAGAAAATGCAGTGTTTACATTACAGCCTAGGGATAACTTCACTGGCCACTCCTCAGATGGCTGTTAGAGATCCTTCCTGGGTCATGGCTGCCTAAAATGCATCCAAACATTCAGTATCTCCTCCCTCTGCATGCAGACACTGAACTTTCCTCATAGAGATTCATTGATTCAATTCAGCTCTATGAGGAAATGCTGATTGGCCAGGGCTGTGTTTGACTAGTGCTGGCTCTGCCCCTGATCTGCCTCTTTGTCAGTCTCAGCCAATCCTATGGGGAAGCATTGTGATTGGATCAGACTACCACTTCTGCTGATGTCAGCGGGCAGGTCTAAAGGAAATAGGTACAAAATAAGCAGCTGCAGACTTGAATACATGTAAGATGTTACTACATTTAGGGAGGCATGAAGGAACCTGGGTGGCTAGATGGCGGTTTTAACCATAGGGTCAGGAATACAGGTTTGTGTTCCTGACCTTATTGTGATCCTTTAATAAAGTATGCAGTAGTACAAATAAAAATCTTAATTAGCATTTGCAACTTTTGCTGTGATGCTCTCGAGTCAGGAAATAACTTGGATGCCTCAAACAATTATTCTCTGTCCAATTTCTTTCAATGGCAGAGTTCTAACTTTCCCATAAACCCTTGTGCAGCAACAGTTTATTGTAAATGTACAGCAGTCAGGATTCCATTCAGCTTTGCGAGCCGTATTTTTGAGTTTCGTACAGATTTCAGTTAACATGTTTTTTTTCCCTGTAAGTTTCACCTTTTACTAGTAGATATTATGAATGTAAGAAAACTAAGCGGCTTTATACCGCATGGCTTTACAAATCTAGCTTTTGTTTCTTTAATTAAAAAAAAAAAACAAACAAAAAAAAAACTTTGCTAATTATTGTAATTTTACGAGACTACAACATACACAAAACCACTGAAATTTTGGATGAAATAGAATTATTCCTTAACCAATTAGTGTTTTATAGCATTCATAATTATATATGCAGATGTTGCAGAAGCTTGACCAAACTCTGAAATAAATGTGCATATAGGCTTTTAGCCCTATAAAGCTCCATTTTAATGTTTCCTAAACAAGGAGTTAAAGGACCACTCTAGGCACCCAGACCACTTCAGCTTTATGAAGTGGTCTGGGTGCCAGGTACCGCTAGGATTAACCCCCTTTTTTTTTTTTTTTTATAAACATAGCAGTTTCAGAGAAACTGCTATGTTTATACTGAGGGTTAATCCAGCCTCCAGAGCCTCTAGTGACTGTCTCATTGACAGCCGCTAGAGGCGCTTGCGTGCTTCTCACTGTGAAAATCACAGTGAGAGCACGCAAGCGTCCATAGGAAAGCATTGTAAATGCTTTCCTATGCGACCGGCTGAATGCGCGCACAGCTCCTGCCGCGCATGCGCATTCAGCCGATGATGTCGCGAGCAAGGAGGAGAGGAGGAGTACAGCTCCCCGCCCGGCGCTGGAGAAAGGTAAGTGTTTAACCCCTTCCTCTCTCCAGAGCCCGGCGGGAGGTTGTCCCTGAGGGTGGGGGCAACCTCAGGGCACTATAGTGCCAGGAAAACGAGTATGTTTTCCTGGCACTATAGTGGTCCTTTAACTATTAACACTGCAAATGTCCGTAAAACAGATTAAGGGGTAAACTTTATATGATAATTCAAGAAAGTGTTTTGAAAAGTGATGGTACATTTCTGTAGTTTTTATGGTGATCTAAAAAATTACTGTTATGTACAGTAAATTCTGTAGGGTTTTGCAGAAATTTCCATTTTTCTGAAGATTTCTGGGAAAAATACTGCTACTTTTCAGTGAGAAAAACTAAAAAATCCATTAAGTTGCCTTAAGTTAGTCAGAAATGTGTCAGCAACACTTTGATAAAGCTCCCCCATCAAGCTATTCTTTAAAATCTGCAGTAACAAGGCACATCAGTAATATCAATGCAGAAAAACATAGCAATGGTGAGCAAATAGCTGCTGAATATAAACGGAGGTGAACAGTGAACATATTAAAAAAAAAAAAAATCTAACTTGGAGCATTTTCAGAAGGTCTTAAGACCCATTTCCACACCACACACCCAAAAAAATAAAAATAAAAAATTCAGTATGCATACCTTTGCTTTGCACTCTGGTACTTTATGGTGGTTCCCATTATGAAGAGATGCTGGAATGGCGTGAACTTCTTTTTCAACTTTTGGAATCTTAATCTCATTCAAGATCTCCCCTCCAAAGTCACCTAAGTTATACCTACGTTAAAATAAATAAATAAAAATACCTACTGTTACTGCACATCATAATTGCAACCAAGGAGATGAGTGACAATTATAGCATTACAATTTTATTTTACCTTTTTTCTACCACTTCCAACGTTAGGTGTAATAACTCCCGTTTCGTCTTTTCTCTTCTTTTGATCATTTCCAAAATGGTTATGGCTCGGCTAAACTCCCTTCTTAACTTTAACATCTTTTCATACGAGGCCTCATCATTCTTGCGATTCTATTAAAAGTAAAACAAATAAAAATCATGGCACCGTCATTAATGCACAGTACAAATGTTGCATATTAAAAGGACTGAAGTGTTTTGATAATTGGAGAATCACTTCATTCTGAATAACTAAAATGAAAATCATCTGACTGTAGATTCGTTGATTTAATTTTACGGTCATATTGTATCTTTTCCATTTCTAAGTTAGTACTAGATTTATGACTGCTGTAAGTTGCTGTATGTGTATATAAAGAGGTAACCATCTCATTTTACTAGTAAATGCTGAAAGTAAACAGAGGTCACTGTGGCATGGCTTTATGAATGATTAATATCTATACCACATTTACATGGTAACTAGAGAATACTCAACACATTGTTGCTGCTTCAATTAGTAAAATATCGGTTTTTATAAATTTAAAAAAGTAATTTTAAAAGTAAACAGTTCATTCTTTCATTAACACAATACTATCCCAGCTGTATTTTGTTTACATTCTTTGTAATATAAAATAAGATAAAACAAAAATGATCCCTTTCTGTAAAAAAAATAAATAAAAATCTAGCATTGCCAAGAATATCAATATTAACTGGGCACTCCGAGCAACATGACCACTGGTACCCCTTGCATAATACATAATGCAAGGACACCCCTGGCCTATATAGACGTTCATGCTGATAATATAGCATTCAGTGCTATGCAGCTAGTGACCCAATGTGTGGCCTATCAAGTAGAGGACTAAGTTTTCTCCATGCCCTGCCAGTTTGTGTATAACATTCACAACACTCAAGTTACTTTTTTGTTTTATTTTTAAATGAATGTTTGTAACAGCAGTGGATGTGTACCTACCAAGAAGTTTTTCATGGAAAAAAAGAAAGCAAGACACAAAAGATCAAAATTGGGGAAAAGGGGGGAGGACAAGAATAGGCTCACATATATATTCCCGGGCCCTTTTTTAAGATTATCTCCATAATGTATCAAAAAAGGGAGCGACAGCCCCAGACTGGGTTATCACATTTAAGAACTACTACTTAGCCCTCATCTTTCTTTATAGGTCACAACGCATTAAGCAATAGTTATTTATATAAAAGAATGTCAAACGAAACAGGAACTTACCTTCCGTGTTTGCATTTTCTCTGTCCTCCTCCTGAAGGCAACGTAAGGGTCGCTGTTTGTAGAGCCATCTCTTTTCTCTTGCTTGATTTGAGGAATAAGGGATGGCCCCCTGCAGTTCTTACGCTTTCTTACCCAGTAGTCATATACAGATTTGATAAGGTAATCGTCTTCATTTAGTAGCAGCTTTGCTTCTTGGAGAGTAACAAGCTGCAAAACAAATGGGAAAATTTAAACTTTATAACAGCTGTGTGGTCTGTTCTACGCTTTAGCCAAAATAACATTTTCGGCAGAATGCTTAACACAAAAAAAAAAAAAAATAAGTACATATTATTTGTGTAATGCAGGAACACTTTTTATATACATATTCCACTAAAACAAATGTACTAAAGCTCTACTGCCTGCTTGAAAACCAGCAAGGTGACACTGCTTGAATAGATTCAAGATTGGTAATGTATAATTGAGGGAGACAGAGTGACAATATCTCATCTCTGAATAATAGTGAGACTTCCAACACTCACACATCCACAATGCTTCTGGGCAACCAATGTGATGAGAATCAACCCACTAGTTTTTCACTTTCTAAATTTCTATTAAGAAAACGTACTGAAATAATTTAGATAGAACAGTCCACTGATGAAATAAAAATATCACTGCTTAGTAGATATAACCACTAATGAAAAAAAATGCATGCACTTAAATTACTTGCGTATATCTAAAACATCTTGCAAAAGTTGCAGATCTCTGATCTGCTGCCTATGCAAGCCCTCCCCTTGTAACTCTGCCCAGATTTTCTATGGCTATCCAATCACAGACTTCCCAGTGCAGCTTGATGATAGGTATTTGAAAGGCAGGTGCCCTGAGCAGTTGCTGCCTCTTGAGTTTATCTCCACTGAGCTATGCAACCCAGAAGTAACAGGACCTGTTGTCTGAATGACAGCCAGGGGGTGTAGCAAGGTTAATTATAAAAGTGACAATTTCTATTAAACTCTGCACCCTTTGTAAAATGACAAAGAACACACTCTTCACCACAAAGAATCATGGGAGTTGTAGTTCAGCAACATCTGGAGGGCTGGAGTTTGAGGATCCCTGCTTTAAAGGAAAGAGGGGAGGGGGAGGGGGAAGGGACAATGCAACAAAAAAACACACACAAAAAACAACACTTAGGGAAATTTTTACAAATAAATGATAAATAACATGCATAAGAAATAAAGACCTCCACAAAAAAAGAAAAAGGGGCCATATTAATTTGATCCTTTTTTTTTTTTTTTTCAGGTTGGGGAAAAAAAAAAAGTTATATTTGAAAGGTTCCTGCTTTCAGGGCCCTACCATGTAACAGGGACGGATGGATTAGTTGCTTGCTTCCAATTATAAAAAAACAAAATGTGTGACATGCTTTCACAAGAAATTAAAGGTGTGGATGTGGAATAGGTTTTATTTTGTAATGCCAATTTTTACCCAGTAAAACCAATGAATAGCACCTCCAAGGTAGCAGTTGGTCCCTGTGCTTCATGTATAGTTTACATATTATAGTGACCATTTTGAGAATCTGTATTTCCATACACAGACACACAATCCTTGGAAAAGCCCATGAAAGCAATGTTTAAGCATTCACTCTTCAGCAGTATCTTACCTGATTAGAGCTTGCCTTCTCCAGCCTGTCAATCATAGTTTCAAATTGCAGTGGCTTAATTTCCATTTTCCTATTTAGTCTGTTAAGCAATGTCTCATCTTCAGAGTCCATATCATAATCTGGTTGTTCATTGTCCAGATTAAAAGCTAAAATCATAACAGAATTTGTAGCAAAATCAGACTTTCTGCAATATTTAATGAAATTATTTTTCATACTGGTAAAGCTACTAAAAGGCTTTCATGGGCACCATAACAACAACAAAGACTTTAGAAATTCTAGTAGCCAACGAGCCAAAATCTGACTGCTGGCTCCTGACTTTTAGCAAAATGCACAAACATGTCTTAAACATTTTACATTGCACACATATTAAATGATATATTCCCAAGTAGCATGACAGCAAGCCTCACCACCGACTTCTAATGTGTTCAGGCTGGGATTACTTTAAAAGAACACGACTAAGATTATAAAATATATGTTTCATGTATAACAGTTTTGGGGCTATTATTAGATTATTGCAGCCCAGCTCCTCCACCAAACAGTTAAAGAAAAAAAAGTTCAAACTTTTTATCCAGTACCGTCAAAGTTTCACAATGGCTGTCAATCCTCCTCTCCCAAAATCATTATTAGTGATGGTTTCAAGTCACTCCAATGTTTCTCACAGAGATACATTGGGGCCCTAATGATGCATGAACTTTGCTGGGGTCTGCCATTTGGATGCTAAGTGAATACAATGCTGCTCTATGAGAAGTGTTAGCAGCGTTCAGAGAAAGTCTTTAATGAGGAAGTAAATGCCTCTAGAGGCATTCTGACTGACAGCCACTAGAGGCACTCACTGACAAATGTAAACAATGCAGAATCTCACTTTGGCAATGTTTACATTTGTCAGACTGCAGGGACAGTGTCTTTGATGAAGATGTGCTTTTGGAACATAGAGTGTCTCTTTAACGCATAGATAAACATTATGCTTTCCTTTAATGAGCATCAGGTCAGTAAATAAATATATAGAATAAATTGAGCCAAGGTTATAAACCTGGTGTGCTCAATGTGATGAAAATCACAAATTCTGAACTGAAAACAAAAGAGGATTCCAGATCCAAACAATATTGTCTGTAAAGAAATGCTACATGCAAATGCATTAACCCCTTAAGGACGGAGCCAAATGTACACATTGTGAACAAAACAAAATGTAAACAAAACCTGCCATTTGCGCTACATGTCTGTCCAACCGTAATACACCTCTTTCATAGTAAATGCACCCACCCTTATTATATATCATTTTATTCAGGGGAAACAGGGCTTTCATTTAATATCAAATATTTAGCTATGAAACATAATTTAATATGAAAAAAAATGGGAGAAAATACGTTTTTTTTGGATTTTTTTAGTTCTACATGACATTTTAACGGTCAATGTCATAATACTGTTTGCTTTTACTGCAATAAATACACATATTTATATTCAGTAAAGTCTCACGTGTAAGACAGTACCCCCTATGTACAGGTTTTATGGCGTTTTGGGAAGTTACAGGGTCAAATATAGCACGTTACATTTGAAATTGAAATTTGCCAGATTGGTTACGTTGCCTTTGAGACTGTATAGTAGCCCGGGAATGTTATTTACACCCATAATGGCATACCATTTGCAATAGTAGACAACCCAAGGTATTGCAAATGGGGTATGTCCAGTCTTTTTTAGTAGCCATTTGGTCACAAACACTGGCCAAAGTTAGCGTTAGTATTTGTTTGTGTGTGAAAAATGCAAAAAATGCCAATTTTGGCCAGTGTTTGTGACTAAGTGGCTACTAAAAAAGACTGGACATACCCTGTTTGCAATACCTTGGGTTGTCTACTATTGCAAATGGTATGCCATCATAGGGGTAATTTTCATTCTTGGGCTACCATCGAAGGCAACCTAACCAATCTGGCAAATTTTAATGTGAAAAAAACTGAAATGCAAGCCTTATATTTGACGCTGTAACTTTTGAAAACACCATAAAACCTGTACATGAGGGGTACTGTTGTACTCGGGAGACTTCGCTGAACACAAATATTTGTGTTTCAAAACAGTAAAAAGTATCACAGCAATAATATTGTCCGTGTAATGCTGTTTGTGCGTGAAAAATGCAAAAAACTTCACTTTTACTGGCGATATCATCGTTGTAATACATTTTACTGTTTTGAAACACTAATATTTGTGTTCAGCGAAGTCTCCCGAGTAGAACAGTACCCCCCATGTACAGGTTTTATGGTGTCTTGGAAAGTTATAGGGTTAAATATAGTGCTAGCAAATTAAATTCCCTTTACTTTCGGCATGGGTTGTCAGGCAGGTCCTGCTAATTGTAATTAATTAAGATACCTAATTATGTAAAAATATTACATAAATATATATGTAGAATTAATATATGTATATATATACGTATGTGTATATATATGTATATATCTATATAATTTTTTAAATATTTTTATTTATATATAGGTATATATATAGTGATATATACGTATATATTTATGTATATAGATATATATATTATTTCGTTCTACGTGTATTTTGATATATATATATATATATTAATTTCACAAAACAGTTAGAACGAAATAACACACATCTATATATTTTTTAATTATTTATTTTTAATTATTTTTTTAATTTTATTTTTTAACGTATTTACATTTTTATTTTTTTTATATTATATATAAATATATATATAACAATAATTATATATATATTTAATCAGTATCAGTCTACGTGTAATTTGATATTATATATATATATAATTAAATATATATTAATAGTAAAATACACCTAGACGGTGTATGTGTGTGTATGTATATGTGTATATATATACTTAGATCATATATATATAATATATACATATGATCTAAGTATATATAATTATTTTTTTTTACACCATTAACTTATTTTTATTTTATTTTCAGCCAGCAGGGGGACCACCTGTCATTACAGGCAGCCCCCCTGCCGGCAATACAGAAGCCAGCTATCCCCGGCCATGTGATTGTGGGGTCCTCGCTAGGACCCCACTCTCACATGGCCGGGGGGCTTCGACGAGGACGGATGTGCCGCGGGGGGCTCCCTGGGAGTCCCCCAACCGCGATCGCCGGCGTGGGACCGCCGGCGACCGGGTAAGTTAACAAAAACCGGAGGGCGTACAATTACGCCCGGCGGCGTTTAGAGCCGCCTATTAGAGGGCGTAATTGTACGTCCTCCGGTTTTAAGGGGTTAAACATTGCATTCCTTTGGTCCACTACTGCTTTACATAATTATGACACAGGTAAAAATGAAGCAGAACACCAGTGTAGATAAAATCGATTCAAAATCTGGAGGAAAAAAATATCTAAAGATTTAAAATTTAAGATGCATCATAATCAAAGGGTTATTCAGCATGTGTTCTGGACTAGTTATGTGGCATGAGGCTGTATTTACATTTTTGAGAGAAACATTTTGTTTAATTTTTTTTAAAGCAACAAAATTTTATAAAATATACAAATTTCAGAAAAGGTTTTTAAATATTGTTAATCTGCAAATGTACACACAGAACCACCTTGAATTTTAAGCTGCACTGCCTCTCCCTAGCATCCCTTCCACTTTCTTTATGAAATACTCATATTGACGTATTGACATATTTCACAGAGATTCCAACCCAATCAAAAGATATACTGAGACAAAGTAGGGAATACCTTGTGTCAGTATTTGTCCAATGCCTGACACTTCTTTACTGTAGGAGGAGCTACCTCCATCTAGAAGTGTCAATCCCCCAGCCATCACCAGTGACTGCTGCAGGGAAATCAGCTTTTTATGGAAGATCCCGCTGTCTTGGAAGCTAGCAGATCTATGGAGGATCCCATGGTCTCAATGCTGTACTGACGCGCATACATGAGGCACCTGGCGCAGAAGAGCCAGTAATGGTGGAGGAACAACCTAAAGGGGATGTTGGCGCCCGCATGGGACATTTCATTTTCAAGTAAATAGATTTCATATTTGCCTATTTCCCTCAGCCACTGGACCCCCGAACAGCAATGTCACCAATAGAGGTCTTTGCAAATTATGCAAAGTACCCAGACATTGACCGCTCTGCTTAAAGTTGTCCTTCGAATATGAATAATTATAACCTATTAAGCTGGAGATAATTTAATTATCAGTGTATTTCTAACGGTATAGAACAAAATCCATTGAAAATGATAACTTAAACTAACCTAAAAAAGTTATTACTCTAAATAGGATACCTTCATTTGGCTGGAAACATTAAAGGATCACTATAGTGTCAGGAAAACAAACTTGTTTTCCTGACACTATATAACCCTTAAGGTCCCTCCTCCCTCAAGGCACCCCTTCCCTTGGCGCAGAAGGGGTTAAAATCCATCCAGCAACTTACTTTAATCCAGTGCCGGGCTCCCTCGGCACTGGTGACCTCTCCTCCCCCGCCAATGTCAGCTCCTGAGTGGAGCAGAATGAGCATGTGCGGCAAGAGCCGCACGCGCATTCAAACAGTCCATCTGAAGGATTAAAACCTGGGGGACCTGGCACGCAGACCATTTCACTGAGCTGAAGTGGTCTGGGTGACTATAGTGTCCCTTTAAAGACTAGAACAACCAGCAAGAAAATACATTTTAAAAAGTGTTTACTTTGAAAAATCATAATGCAAATAGACTAGTGACTAGTGATAAAAAAATGGATTTAAAATTGACTTCAAAATTGATTTAAAATCAAATCCAACCTGCTGCACGCCTATCAGAAATGCAAGACAGCATGAGTTAAGTAGAGGAATTGGTATAAAGTGCTTAACAGTCAAAACTGTTTCTTTTCGAAACTTGGCTTCTTGTATGAGAGGGCAGGTGGCTCATCCAGTTACTATAAACAGACGCATCCTTGTTTGCTAACTGGAATGCAGACAAATATGAGGACACCAATGCTTTTTACTTGTTTCAAGAAATAGATGAACAACAGATGAACTTACGTTGAATGTGAATGAACTGCTTGGGCTGTTTAAATTCTCCCTTATACAGACGACTGTAGTAAAGTACATTGCTCTCAGCCTCGGGAACTGGGATAACCATGCTTTCTTTCTTTTCTCTAAAAACTTGCTGTGCTGAGATAGCTCGTTGTAAATGGTGTTCCTGCAAATAGAAATTGACACTATTTAGGTAGTGCACAGAAAATCATAGAAGATCAAGCATAAATATTAAGGCATGCAACATCAAAAAGTAAAACCCACCACTGAAGGAACATCCTGCATGCACACCAACGTAACTGTACTGGAATTTACAGCACTGAATAAAACATTAAATATCCCTTTAAAAAAAAAAAAAAAAAAACTTTTAAACCTTTTTTCCCCATGTTAAAACAAAACTTAAAGAGTTAGCAAATTACTACATAATCCATTTCAGGCAAGGCAAAGCCAGGGCAGACATTGCTAATGAACAGGAGAAATATATACAATGTTTAATTTTACATCTTCTCTGTATGACTGCCAAGTGCACACAATCATTAAAGGGAAACTATAGTGCCAGGAAAACAAACTAATTTTCCTGGCACTGTAGCTTCCCCTTCTGTCAAGGCCCCCTCCTGCAGCACTGAAGGTGTTAATAACCCCTTCAGTCACTTACCTGGGTCCAGCGCCGATTTCACTTGACACAATAGATTATATGCTCATATTCTTAATAACGACAAAACATTATGAATACAAGCACATAATCTATCAAATTTACTTAAATTCTATTGGTTTTTGTGGTCAGAGAATGACTGGAGTAATCCTTTGAAATTAATCATTCCAGTTTGGACACTGATTTAAGGGGACACTATAGTTAATGTAGTTGTTCTGGTGAGTAAAAGCTCCCTTCATGCTTTTTTTATGCAAACACTGTCTTTTCAGAGAAAAGGCAGTGTTTACATTGCCCCTAGGGACACCTCCAAGTGGCCACCCCTTAGATGGCCACTGGAGGGGCCTCCTGGCTCAGGGCTGCACAGCGTGATTCAATGCATCTCTACGAGGAGGTGCTGATTGGCCAAAATGGTTTTTGGCCCGGCCCCTTGCCGATTTTAGCCAATCCAATGCTTTCCCCACTGGAAAGCACTGGATTGGCTAAAAATCAACTATTTTGATGATGTCACCAAGGGACGGGACCAGCGCCTGCAGACCGGTGAAGAGCTGAAAATAAGGTGAGTTTTAACCCATTCTGAGGGGGCTAAGAAGGAGGGCAAACTACCTAAATGGTGTGTTTTCACTATAGGGTCAGGAATACATGTTTGTGTTCCTGACCCTTTAGTGATTCTTTAAAGTGAACATCAGGTATGTGGTCTGGCAATAGGGCCTTTTACTATAGGGTCAGTAGGCAGGTTTATAAGTGTTACAGCTGCAGTCCTTAAGATCCAAAAGCTTACTTTAGTACACACACAAGTTTTAAAGTAAATACTTTTTTTTAGTTGTCATTCCCTTTCCAATAATAGAATGAACATTTCTGCAAAATATGGCACAAGCCATATTACACCCCTTTTTGTCTTTTAACTATTTGTAATGGACTTCCTACAGCTACAGGTGGTTTCACCTAGTACCTAGCCCTGCAGCCTCCTGCAAAACCTTTTAATCTCTTATAGTATATCTCTCTCTTGAATTCCTTATAATATCTCCTCTTAGTTTTAAGGCTATGTTTCCTGGGCTAATTGTATAACTTGAATTTAATCACAATATGTGGCAAAGTACTAGTGTTAAAAGCCTTGATTTGTATATAAGCGAGAATACAAAATACATATTTTCTATAGTATTTCTAATCATAAGGAATCATCCTGTTTTCCTTCATATCTTATGTGTTTCCTTAGGTCATCAGATATTCACAGATGTGAATGAAATAAAGCTCAGGGCTGCCTGGTGAAGCAGAGAATGAGAGACAATGTGTTTCATGTGAAAATTGTGCTGCAGATTAATGGATTTGAAAGTGAAAATAAAATCCAGTGTGTGATGCAATCATTTCCTATCCGCTCCACACACAGAGATCACTTACAACAGAGGTTACACAGGGGAGAACTCCAGCAATAAACAGAACAAGGCTTTATATAAAATATATTTTTTTCAATATGCTGAATAAAAATTGGTGAAACCACAGTTTAATTTTCTGCCCGAGTGCTTTTCCAACACACTGACACCATACATATTGGAGTGATTTTTAAACAATGCAGCCATGGGTATACACAAGTTATTGCCTCAGTGACAGTCAATTCAAATAAGCATTGTTATATCCAAATGGTTAAAAGAAAGGAATTGACAATACATCTTAATGAAGGCTACCTTTTTCATGCAACTAACAAAGATCAATCAAATCAAAGACATTTTAAACAATAATGTGTATTTTAAAAACAAATTAGCACAAAGTTTCTATGCAGCATGTAGAACTGTACGAAAAATAGGAATAAAAAAAAACAAAAAACAAATTGAAGATGACATTGGCACAAAGAACACGATTTTCACTTTTTAAAAATTTTTATGGGATTTGTCATCACGCTACGCAGTCGATACCTGCCTGCAAACCTGAGCTTGTACTAATCCTCTTTCATTTTGTAATTGTCTAATTTATTGTTAAATCTCCCCCTTGGATAATTTTGTAAAACGCTACCGAATATGCTGGTGCTATATAAATACCAATAATAATAATAATAATAATAATATACATGCCGCAATTAAAATCATCAAGATCAGTTTCCCTTGGACATCTGTGAACAAAACATTTCTCTATAAGTAGAACTCAGAACAGATTGTTTTTGCTTACTCCCAATGCCAATGCATTCAATGCATTCAAATTACTAAAGGAGCCGGATTCTCAGTTATTACATCTATGTCAACATCACTATGCTAAAGGTCAAATGTACAATGCTATCTGCACACTTGCAAGCAACAAAGTTACAACAAAGTACAGATTATACTGATACAACGAAAGGCAGGGCTTAAAATTTCAAAAACTCGACAGAACTTCTGATTTCCTTACCACTTTAAGCCCAGACCGCTCATGGCATGCTCACCACAGCTACATTATCAATGGCAAGTGAGGAGAGAGAATTTTAAACTCACATGTAAGAAATTTTATATTCAATAAGAAGCTTTTCATCTAGGCTCTCTCTTGTCTGATCTCCCCAGGTTAACCTTTAAAGTGTAAGCTCACAGGCAGGGTCCTCTACCCATTGTATCGATCTGTTCTTATTGTGTTGTCTTTTCCAATTGTACAGTGCTGCAGAATATGTTGGTGCTTTATAAATGCAAGTAATAAATAAATAGGCAAATACTGTCTGATTTGAATTGTGGATTTGATTAAAAAGGAAATAAATATGTGAAAAATATAGATTGTAAACCACTTTTAAAATGGCACTGGTGATCTGTAATCAATGCTTGAATGCACTGTTATTCCATTAAAGATCATTGATTTATTCGAGGAGATATGATTGCTTTCTCTAATTTATGCAATCCGAAACAAGTATCCTTTATGCATTTATGAACACCTTTCCATAATGTGGAAACACTCTTAACAGATTTAAAATAAGGTAATACAAGTCTGGCTCAACAGAACCCTCTTTAGTCCGTGACCCTGGCAAGTGGTAGTTCAATAGCATCCCTAGAATTGGGTCCTTTAGAGGGTGTTCTAAATGACCCAATTCTAGGGATGCTATTGAACTACCAGACTCTCTTCCTAAATCATAACTGTATGTGTCTATTCTATGTTGCAACATAACTTGGCAACTACCAATTGTACTTTCTCCCTATTTTTGTGCATTGAAACTATCTTGTTTTTGAAATACAAAAAAGGGGGGGGGGGCCCAATACTTTGTATCCTTGTGTGTAATATGTAATTCTCCTTTTGAAACCTGGTTTCACCCTGGATACAATGTAAACAGCTGTGTTCTACAATATGAGTGCCCTACGTCTTTTATCCTCAGAAAACAAAAGTAAATGGTCACATTGTCTATAGATTAACTCTGAAGACTCTCAGAATTAACAGAACAAGTTGAACTTTGATTCAAATAAATATTTTACTTTAAGACTGGGAATGCAGCTCCATCTTCTGTTATTTTGTATACAAATTGTGCCTCTGGGACTGGCACCTGGCTATATTGTATATAAATAGGAGCACCTTAGAGGGTGACATGAAAAGTGGGAGTGGTGGGAGGGGTAACTCCCCAGAACAATAACTAAGAGGTTTGGAGACCCTTATAAAGGGGACAAAAGCCCCTCCAACAACTACAGGCCCAGCCTTTAAAATATATATACACATACACACAATATATTTCACATTGTCCAGACAAACTATGAAGTCTCTCAGAATTAATATAATATAAATCGCATTGCAGACACATTCAATTTTGTTATTGATTTTATCAAATAAGAAACACTTATCAATAGTCACAGAAAAAAAAGAGAGAATCAATTTTCAGCAGTGAATTTTTCTTCTCCTAGCTTGCATTTACATGGTTTATTTTCATACACTTCCTTTCCAAATCTGTGTAGGATACACGTGCTTTTATTAAATGTATTTATTTGATAAAAATAAGACAGGTGAACTAATAAAATACACATTAAGGTGGTTAAGGACAGGCCTTCTAGTGAATAGATATAATTCAAGGAATTGCCTTTGTCAACAGCCCACAAGTCAGGCAGATAGACATAACCTGCATCCAATTGTAAGGATTGCTGAAGTCAAACAGCATGGGGACTACAAAAAAAAAAAAAAAAAGCTACATGATTCCTATTCCTCAAGAAAAATCAATTATCCTCAGAAATGCCCTGCCAGCCACTATACAGAATTACAGTCACCATTCTGTTTCTATGGTAACTGATGCATGGCTCTATTGCATAAAAAGTAAAGTCTGACATAACCTTTCTGAATTAAATAATAAGCAAACTTTAATACACATACAGTACTTAAAATGAAAATAACTGGATTAAAACCGTGTTACACAATAATGTTCTGAATCTAAAAAGATAGATTTCTAAGTGTCCACTTAGTGAACTAGTTTCGGTATATAGACGGTGCCCCCATCCAACCGCACAACTCAATTCTCAACCTTTGAGTTGATACAAAGCAAAGCATCATGGGAGCTTTAGTTCTGCGACAGCTGGGGATCAACTTCCTGGCCACCCTGCCCTAATCCCCAAATGAACAGACAAACACAAAACAAAATTCACCGAAACCACCCAAAAGCGGAAGACTCAAACAGAATCTAATAGAACAGACTAGGCTGTTAAATAAACTTAAATGTTTACTGTAAGTTAAAAATATATCACTTAAGAATCCTGGTTGTTACAATGAGTAACTATATAGCAATTAAAAAAGGTAATAGCATAGAAGACCTATACTCACTAATCACAATATTAGTAAATTTCTTCTTCTAAAGATAGCCAAAGCATGGGTCCTTAATAAACACCTGCAAAGCCCGCTCACGCTCATGCACCGGTTCCATTACGCCCAGTTGCAACACTACTATCATAACTTACCGCACAGAACTAAAATACACAGGGACCTCACATGGTATGAAACACTATGCTCACAAGCACCGGAAGCGGACGGGAGGGTGTCGGCGATATACCGAACCTTAATCACAGGTAATAGAACGAACAACAACCTGTACAAACGACAATGGGAGGAAAGGACGGACACGACTTTCCCAGACGACCAATGGGGGAAAATCCTGATACTACAACACAAGAGCTCATCCAGCTCTCACTACCAGGAAGTAAACTTCAAATTACTGACACACTGGTACCGCACACCCTCTGCACTCAGCCGATACATTCCGACTATACCGAACACCTGCTGGAGATGCAACGCGGGTCCTGGAACGCTGCGACATATATGGTGGGACTGCACGATCATCGAGCCATACTGGAGGAAGATCGAACATGAACTCCAGACCATCTTGGATGACCCCCCAACCCTGACGATGGCGGCCGCCCTCCTACACCACACGGAACAACCCCTTGCCTCCTACAAAAAGTCGATTCTGAGACATCTGCTGAACGCAGCTAAGTCGCTGATCCCATTACACTGGAAGAAACAGGAACCACCCACGACAGAACAATGGAAACGTAAAGTAGAAGACATACGAATAGCAGAAGCCAAAATAGCAGAGCTGCTGGGGAGAGAAGAACGACACACGGAGACCTGGAGGCCTTGGCTAGCATATGTAACATAGAAGGTGACCCCATACATCGAACAGGCGACCATCCCCCACCCCCCACCCTTTTTTTTTTTTCCTCTCTTCCTCTCTCTTCCCCCTTTTCTCTCCAAACCTATAACACAACACAAGGACCACGGAGACACAACAACCTATTAGGCACCACACCACAGTACAAATACAGCCGAAGAATCAGCCACATACTGATACACGCTGATCAGAACAGAAACGGAAAATACAATAGCCACACAAAAACAAACTCATGTTGAACCATTAAACAAACATACCCAGCTCTAGTTCCAGCGCCATCTGGAATTCACAGAAACGAACACGAGCAATCTAGGCATGGTCACCCACGAAAGCGGTATATGCTGCTTGGTGGACGACCATCACAGAAAGAAATCCCAAACGGAGGTAAAGACAAACATACACTAGCTGAAGTAGTGGACAAAGGAAGGGAGACCCAGGACCGTAAGACGAGCCTAACACAATGTAAAGATCAACAGCAGCACACACATATGCCACAGAATAACACACAACACCCATGAATAAAACGCACGAGACGGAGAACTAAAGTGTTCTAGCAAACCCGCTCGCACCGGAAAATCGGATGATATTAGACAAAGACAGAAGCCCAGACGGTAGGGGGCTACTGACGCCAGGCGACTGCGCCAACACACAGATAGAACACAGGGAACCATGAGATAGGGACCCCCATAGCACAATGTGATAGCCCTAACCCCACAGTAAAAGAAACAACCCACGATACCAGGGAATGCAAAACAGGAAAAGGAAAAAGAAAAAAAAAAGGAAGAGGGGGAGGGGGAGGGAGGGAGAGAGGAAGGGAGAAAAAAGAAAGGGAAAGAAGGGGAGAAGAAGGGGGGAGGGAAAGAGAAAGGAGAGGGAAGGGGAAAGGGAAGGAAAAGGAATAGGAAGGGGAGGGTAGGAGGAAGGGAGCCAGGGAACGGAGGGGGAGTGGGGAGGGAAAGAGAGAAAAAGGGAAAAAACTGAGATTTGGATTTCGCAGACACATGAGGATAATAGAGCCTGCAAGTCCCAAGGAATACTGCGTAAATGTTAAATATACAACTAAATGTAACTGTACATGAGACCTGCGTGTCTCCCAACTCACTACTGCATGTTTGATTGTATATGCTACAACAAAACTTCAAAAATAAACACATATTTACAAAAAAAATAAACACCTGCAACACCTTCGTGCCCACTATTCTAAAAATAACAAGTCATCCTATTCTTGCTCTATCAAATCCAGAATAAGATAATCGATATAATAGATAACATGTGCTCTCAAAACAAACCTGTTATGATAAAGTTATAAAGTTCATAGAACCTAAATATACCATCACTATCTCACAAAACAGAAACCCACACAGGGAAAACTAGGTGGTGGACTGTCCTTTTGGCTGCATCTAACTAAAATGGATAGCCTCAAAAGGGCACCATCCTAGAAACAGACACCGCCGACCGGTATATAAACCTTGTAAACATCAATATACTAGAACTATCTACCCTAACTAAATATAAATGTGTTCGACTGGACAGCTCACTGTGCCGTCTTAAGAAATATCAGAAGGCAGATAAGAGGTAGTATACAATAACAGAAAAATAAAAAGTAGCCCCAATAAGTAAATCAACAATGGCACTGCTGCTCTCCTCAAGTAGAACTCAGGGAGAGCCATTAGCTTCTCTCCTGGAGCCTTTTTTACCACGACAGTGCAACGCTCTCAACAGATGAGAAGTCCTGCACCGCCAGTGGACTCTGGTAAAAAGCCAAACCGTATGCAAAGAAAAGCACTTCAAAGTAAACTTGGTAATTAGCTGCTCTTACACACCCCGTGAGGGGATACCTTCATTTCCTCACCCTAAAAATACAACAAAACTTATTAACAAGATACGATCTTGTAATCAGTGAGTGGAGCGCTAGACGATCGTATAATCGCTTACCCCTTACTAAATGAATATACAGATCTTGATGCAGGGTGACATGAAAAGAGAATTTTTTTTAAAACAAAACTAGTGCAGATGGTACTATCAAAAGTGGAGATATGCAAATGAAGTAAGTAGATACACTAACAATATTTAGAGCCTGAGGATAAGGCTCTATTATAGTGCAGATGTGCTATTGTAGGCAGCACCCCACCTTTTTGGACTAGTATCGCTCTCAAGGCAAACAAACAGTTAAAGAGATTATGGTGCAGTATGTTTATATGGATCAAGGACCCAAAACACTATAAAAACAATAATAAAAAAAAGACTCCCCTTATTAAGAGCCCATATATGCCTTGGCTCTAAGGTGGAAATGCCTAGTCTCAATTTTGGGGAGGACACTCCCCAATATGGAACAGAAAAAACTGCCAAAGGTGCTATAATACAATATTTATTAGACAACAAAAATTAAAAACAAAAAAGTGTAAAAAGAAATAAATATCAAGCATTTATCCAGTCTTTTGCAGTCCAATCATAATGCCAAGATCATGTCTTGTTAATCATGTTTGGTATAAATTTGAATAGTCACAGCTTTATTTCCTAATTCTGCTGTGTAGCAGCCTGGAATGGTCAAATGCTTAAATATGTAAACAGTCAGAAAGTTCTTGTATGAATGCTTCCAAAGGAGGGTATTCCAGGTGCATGTTCTGTAAAACCTAAAATACTTCATTTTACTGAAAATGACTCATTAAGCCACACCTTTTATTTTGATATGTGTATTTTTACATCGATGTCAAGGAAGCAGAATTGCTACCACTTGAAAATGGGATATGTATTTTCAGGTGCTGAACAGGTACTTTCCCCTATTTTTAACCCTGTTGTGTCCTGGTGGCAGGGAGTTAGTTTCGAACACAGAGTTTGTGGTCTGCACCTCTGACAGGTGCCGACCACAGCAAATGCTCCCTCACTGTCCTGCATTCAGTAAGGGAATAGAGCACCAGGACCACAAGGAATCAATCTCTGTGGTCTGTACCTGACTGAGGTGCAGACCACACACCCCGCCTCACCCCCACCAGGGACTTTAAAGAGACACTGTTGGCACTATAAGCCATTCAATTTCACTGAATTGGTTATACTTCCTGAAGTCCCCTGGTACTGTACTGATTTAGGACACATTGCTTCCTATAGCCCAATCCCTACTGGAGGTATGGCTAAGGGAAAAAAAATACATGCTTCTTTGTGGCCATACCAACACACTGTAATAAGGCGAATGCGGTCAGCTGACACGGTCAGTAGCCCAAAGCTGCTCAGGATAATGCTTCCTTATTAGCCCAAACAGGACTGATGGAATGGGATGTTATGGACCATTGTTTAGCATTAATACCGAATTGGAGGACAGGGCCAGGGGACTCCAGACACGATAATCCCCCTTAAATGAGATGAATCTGTTACAATGCCTATAGTGTCCCTTTAACCCTTGCTAGACTGCCAGGGTCAAAAAACCAGTCCGTTCAAAAATCTATGAAGGGGGGGTGCAAAACAAAGCACACAACCACTTTACACACTAAACACAGCTGGCATATAAGCCACACCCACACATTGCCAACCCCTCCTCCCACACCCCCCATAAAACATTACATACAGTAACCCACACACTATTAAGGGAACATAGGGTAAAACAATCAGGGCTATTTACTAAACTCAAAACTTTCAGAAAATAGATCTTCATCAATAAACAGAGGCAAAAGTTTGTAACTATAGAGTTTTTCAAGATCAGCAGTCTTTGTTTTTCTTTTTGAATATATTCACAGGCATGGTGTTTAGTGAAACATATGGTCAATGCCCATAACTCTAAGCAGTTGCCGCAAGTTGAAGTTATCCAAGAGATTATATATATTTTTTTCCATTTTCACAGCCCTAAAATGTGGTGGTAACGCAGAGTTTGCTTACTCCATTGTCAATTATGAGCATTAAAGGAGGCTAGATGAGTAATTATAAGAAATTGGGTCACGTTCTCATTTTATACAAGCTGAACCAAGCATCCCTACTACCATTTCTAATCGCAGAAAAAATCCTAACAACTTTTAAATATGGGAATACTTTGTATCCATGTGGGCAAGACTCAACTCTCCTTTTGAAAAATGGTGTCATCCTAAAAGCAGCTGTTTTTTTAATTGACTTTTGAGCTATTATGTCCCCAGTGATAATTCCCTACATACATTTTCATTCACATTTAAAGTGGGTGCATGTAGTAAAGGTGTCATGTATTTAGTAATAAAACTTTTTAAAAAATCTAATACTACCATTTTGCAGATGATAACATCGCACAACTGTGTCTGATAAATGGAGGATGTATTTAAGTAGTAATTCAAACTTATGGATGGACAACTAAATATAATTTATAAATCAGCTGATAGCATGTTTTCTCTTGCTAAAAAACAGCAGATCTAAAAAACAAAAATATAAAAGAACACACACACAGTGAATGACATCCTGAACAGAACACAAAACAAAAATCATTAAAAAAATTAAAAAAAACAGCCACTGGGTCCTGGGGTGACGAGGTGACTGCCCCGGGGTACAACGGCCAAACAACACCCAGACAGCGGACCACATGCCCCCACCTCCGTAGACAGAGGGGGGGAATGACAGCAGCAGACCCAGGACGCTCACCGAGCAGGAGCACGACCACACACACACTGATGGGTGGACCGGATCGGCCCAGTCCAGTTATGCAACGTTTTAACCCCTGATTGGTTTCTGCACCGTTTTAGTTAACTTTTCAGTTTCGTGCATAGGAGACAACTCTTTCCCTGTGAGCTGGACAGCAGCATAGGCATGCTGGACATCCTATGAACCAGACACACCAGGTTTCCTTGTCCCCACATAACAGACCCCTCTGTATTTTTAGTCAGAGTGAGGATGTAGTGAGAACCCTGGCTGGGCCGTACGCACACATCACTCTTAAACGACCTAGGCTCCTCGTTGCCTCTCGGTACGTTTAGATACTGATAGCCGCAGGTAGCAGGGAGCACCTCAACGCCCATATAGAATATCTGAATTCCTATCGTGCCATGTCACCCACACACTCACGGCGGAGATGACGGAAGAAATGGAACAGCCCTTGACTATAGAAAAGCCCTCAAACTTGCCAAGACCAACAAGGCCCCGGGCAGCCCCCTGGTCTCATATGTACATTCCGAGACATTCTGCTCCCGCACTTGTTACGGGATCTGAACTACATCCTGACTGGAGGCCAATTCCCGGTGGATTCACTTCGCGTGGTGGTCACGGTTATACCAAAGGAAGGGAAAGATCCCTCCAGCTGAGGGTATTATCGGCCAATCTAGATATTAAATGTGGATCTTAAACTTTTTGCCAAAACCATGGCATTGAGGCTGTCACGGGTACTGCCCACATTGGTCCAACTCTACACATATGGTGGAACTGCCCTGACATAGCCCCTTTCTGGAAGATGGTAAACAGGAAGATTTGGCAGATCACAGATATCAACCTACCATTCCAACCCCTCACTATGCTACTACACCATACAGATGTGTCATTAAAAACATTAAAAAAAAAAAAAGAAAGAAAAAAAATCACTCACAAAACATCTCCTGAAAGCCGCAAAGTCTTGAATACACACACTGTGGAAGCAGAAGGGTGTGCCCACCTTCCGGCAATGGGTGGACAGAATAGACGAGATCTACAACATGGAATCCTTGACTGCAACACTACAGGGGCACCATGGCTGCTATTTCTCTCGACGGGCAACAGGGGAAGCTAAGCTTTTACCCGCTCCTCTTCTCTGCATGCTCTACTTCTTTCCCTCCCTCCTCCCTTTTCTTATAACATATGAGCAGTCACCCCCACCAAAGGGAATGCCCCGCACGCCAACTTCTCAGCTTGGAGTAATCTTTACAACAACAGGCCATTCTACATAACCCTTATACCAGTAACTTAATGCGGCCCCCAAATACCAGGAACACACTTAGTTTTAATGCATATTTACTGCATGCATCTTTAAGTCTAGGTTCTCTCACCGAGTCAGAGCCCTGACTCCCAGTCTGCTATGGACATACACAGATTTGCATTACCGATAAATGGTCCATGAGATCCTGGTAGCCAAGCACTCTTTTCTCTGAAAGGACTGCTGAATGATAGTTATGCTGGTTAACTCGAAATTTGCGATTACATTCATATGTGTGTGTCTGGTCCCTGGATATCAATATGCTGCCCGAAAACCAATTGTTGTTCTCACATTACTTACACTATATTTTGCCATATGTTAACTTGGGGGTGGGGGAACTAAATAGTTTTTGTTACCTTTATTACATTATTTTTACTGTGAAATTACATGCCTATTAAGTATTTGGAGTTCTTATCTATAGATAATGTATCAAAACTGAGAATTCCCAAGAAAGGCTAAACTACAGATTTTAGTGAATTAAAACCAAATGGCAAAAGAATGGGTCTTTTTATTGTGTTAATTTAAATTATTTTATATTTTATTGCACAGTCTGTATGATGCATTAAAATATGGGCCAATTTTAGCCTGGACAATCCCTAAATCCCTTAAGTGCTATCAGTTGGCTTTCAATTTATACATTGCTTTAGAATTCAAAACGTAGATAGGCTGCCATCCGTTTATACACAGTCTATGGCTTGGTGCTTTCAATTGAAGAAAGACCGCCTTCCATGTTGTGCATGAGGTGTATGCACACTACACAAACAATATGGACAAAATTGATATAAGGCAGCCCTGGTGGACTGTCTTTTATTTGAAAATATACACTTTTTTCTCTCTTTTGCAGCTAATAAAAAAAGGTGTTTTTTTTTTTTTGTTTGTTTTTTTTTATTGATTTGACAGACAAAATGTTCCACCCCCCACCATTCTTCATTTTATATGAGAGCAAATTATGGTCACAAGCATAGAATTACTAGGTAATTATTCTACCCCATAATATGCAACCTCACAAAATACACTGAAATATTTATATTAAAACTTAATAAATATAAGTATTGAGTTTGTGTATGTGTAAAATGTGAGCAAAAAAAATATGAACATTTCTGCTTAATGCAGATGTAAAAAAAAATAAAAAATTAAAATTAATAGTAAAAAAATGTTTTTACCACAAATGAACTAAACTATTTATCGGTTATCGTAGCCATTATCTAAATCATAAATAAAATATTATACGTGGAATACTTCCCATTTGTAGAAAGTGGATATGAAACAATCCTTAAAATATTTGCAAATACCTTAATAACCCATAAAAGATTACTTATGGAGTAAAAGAGAGGGACCCTCTGAATTTGGCAGCTTGCATCTTCGTCCACAAGCCAGGCTGAAAGATGTAAAGTGCATAATGGTAAGGATTACAGAGGTCAAACAGCATGGGGACTGCAGAAACAAAAGAAGACTACAGGATTCCTATTCCTCAACACAAATCAATTATCCTCAGAAATGCCCCACTAGCCAATATGCAGCTTTACAGTCACCAATCTGTTTCTATGGTAACAGATACATGGCTCTATCACCCAAAGTACAGTCTGATATAACCTTTAAAATAAAACAAATGTCAATACACATGCTGTACTTCAAAATAAAACTAATTGGCTTTAAACTGTGTTACACAATAGTGGTCTATGTCAATGTAGAAGGAAAGCCCTGTATGTTTTAGCATCTTTTTCTAGGAGAAGATATTTTTTTTTTATCCTCCAAAAGGTAAAAATTGCCAAAGTTAAAAGGAACACTCTAAGGATCACAACCACTGTAGCACTCTGTTGTGATTATGGTGCACCCCCACTATAAGTGGTCATACCATTTTAGGCTAATAGTAAAATCTTTTTATTACATGGGGTCTGCCAGCACTGCACCACATCTACAGTACATGCAGAATTTCCCAAGTACTTTGAGAAGTGTATGAATTTCAAGTGCTGATATCAGCGCAGGCTCCTCACTTCTACTTTCAACTAGAATTCAAAAGGAATGTTGCTGGAAATCCTCCCAGATGTTTGATAAATTGAAAGGTGTGACAAGGGAATTTTATACAACTCCTGCAGGAACAGGAAAAGACATAACACTTTATCAATGGAGGGGTTTAGGTGTCTGGAGTGTTCCATTAAAGCATTACAATCGGGGTTATTCACCAACATGAGAATAGCCTGGAATTTAAAATGTAAGGCCAAAACAGACAAACTAGATTTTTTCTATATCCCACTATTTTACTGCTATGTATTTAAGGCATTATAATCCAAATGGTGGATGGACAACCGGATATATAATTTACAAATCATTTTGATAGCCACAGGTTCACTGTGATGGAAAAAACAAAGCTGCACAATATTACTTAAGAAAAATAAAAGCAAGAACACATTACTGACAGAGTCAATACTGGGACAAAAAGCAGTAACAGACATGGTTTTTATTGTACTCCTTTATAAATCAGTTAGGTTATTTAAATCATTCATGAACTGTTGTTTCCGGAGATGGAACACTATGAAGTTTCCCCTAACAGCTGTCTCTTGTGTCTATGACATCACGTCTATAATGTAGTATATAATGATGAGCACTCCTAATGAATATACATTTTGGAAGAGTGCAGGTAACCTTAGGATCCGTATTCCCATATATGGCACAAATCAAAGAAGCAATAGTTCAGCACACCATTTTTGCAAGCAGCAATCCTTTATTTTCAGTGCATAGGGAAAGAATATTTAGGCCTGAATGCAGCCCTTTATCAAGTCATGATGCACTGGTTGTAGGAAAAGGAGTGAAAGCAGAGTGAGGATCACTTTAGCCAATAGCAATTTGATAATCTAGGAGGTTTAACTTAAAAGTCGACAAGGACCTCTTCTATGATTAGGAGACAGAGAGCCTTATTCAATACATTGGCCAGAGGCTCAATGCATCTCATAGGACCATACACACTGCTGTGGTATTCATGTGACAGTCTCTTACCAAGTACCGCCACTCCGATAATTCTTCTGCAGCTTTATTTCTTGTTGTCAAAGCTTTGGACCAGCCACGGAAACTGAAACATGTTAAAGTGGCCCGTGCCTATCTCCATTCAAAGGAGCCAGAGCTGGACCCCAGCAGAAAGAGGTACATGCAGTAGAAGCAGCAGCTGGTGGGGCTGGAAAGGACCCTACTGCAGACTTTGCAGTTAATGTGAAACACCCTCACAAGGATGTGAAAGAATTTATCCAATCCTCTGCCTTCTATACAAAACCACAGCACTGGCCTGTCTGAGCATTCACCTAGCTTGCAAATGGTCCATGTGGGAAATTCCTGAATTAATAGAGGGTAAGCAACAGTGGTAATATGTGGATCAATCTCCAACTCAAAATCCCACAGTACATATAATCAGCTAATAATGTTGCAATCAGATGATTCACATCAATTCCTATCAATCTGGGGCTTTGTGTAACTATGTTCAGCACTATATTATGCACAGCATAGACCGAAATTACCAGATTTAATATAAACAATCCAAATGATCTAATCCACAAAAGTCAGGAGCAAGCTGAAAAAAAAAAAACCTTCAGATGCCTTTCTTAAGCATCCTCCACGTCCAAGTAGAAATTGCATTAAATGTTCCAGCACCTTTATCTGTGTAAAACAGCCGCTGATCATTTACACATTCTAAGCTGTATACTCTAACTAAACTAGATATTGAAATGGCACAACACATTTCATCCTTTTCTGAGGGCTTTTTCAAAGTTCAATTGTAATAAATATATTTTTTCACAACAGAAGCAATGCAATGAGTAGATGTGCCTTGTGCTGTGCACAGACAAACTAATCAATAAGGAGTTTCTTTAGGAATTTTCATAATTGATCATTATTAATTGATTGTTGCAGCTCTAGTTCCTTTAAAAAAAAACTAAAAAAAAACTTAAATGAAAATCAAAGTGCCCAGGTTAGCTGACAGTTAATCTATAAATAGTAATAGCTGAAAAAAGTGAATCAAAGAATACTAAATACCGGTAACTATGTGATGCTATAGATGATAAAAAAAAAATAAAAAAACCCTCTTTAATAAGACTACCAACTACATTTTTATACGAATGATAAAACTGCACAAAAGGAAAGTGGGCGAATCAACCAGTGGTTAATAGGTTTGTAATTATTTGCTGCACATTCATTGAATATTCATCTCATAATGAAGAGGTCTCTGTCTGCAGGAATATCCTTTTCACCTTCCCTGTCCAACACAAAGTAGGATTTCAATCACATTGCCATTCTTTAATATGAAGTTTGGTGCCAGTCTTTTCCATTCCATCACATACAGTCACAGCCTGCACTGTAGCTCCTACTGGCAGTCTCTAAAACGTACCAAACATAACTGTCACATGTAAGAGCTATGCAAAGTAGTGGCCTCACTTGGGGGAGTGTCTCTTTGCCGAAAACAGCATTATTTGACAAAAGCCATTATTTAGCCCCTTTGTATCAACACTCAGGTATTCTATAATATAATATCCAACAGAAAGATGCCTTGGGAAACGATCATAGTCAAAAGTTTATCTATATTATTTGTATATAACTCTAGTCAGCAAATTATTAGATTATGAATGTAAAACATGTTGGGATGTTTAAAATTCTGCTATCTAGAGAGCAAAAACAATTATTTTGTTATCTTCTTAACTTCCAAACGTATGGCACGACTAAAAATATTAAACGTGTATAGAGAAACTGGGATGGTGAGGAAAAGGACACACAAACAAAAATATAAAGCAGGATCAGAAAAGTCAAATTTTGTTTTGATTTAATAATTGCTTTAATCGATTTAATACCTAGAAATATAAATATAGAAAGGAAATAGGAGGGAGGGGGATGGGGCTGAGTGTCTGGGAGGTTGCTTGCAGGCACAGCTCATAAGGCAACACACAGACTGTGACAGCATGATCACACACTTCTTATTTACTGTAGCAAACAACAGTACGGTCTTTATCACTGCCACTGAACCCAGATCACCCTGGAGTATGCCCGGAGTTTGCCCTATGTACACATACACACACAAAAACACAACCAACTTGAACCGGCTTTTTGCCAAATCAATCTATAAACTTAGTATTAAATCATGTATCATAGCTAAGCATAAAATAAATAATCTCTCACATACAAGAATGTTTAGATTCAATTAAAACAAGAACCATTAAGTTATAACTGAATAGTGAGAAGCCATGCTCATGTTAATTATATGAGAAAAGGTCAAGACTAAGGAAATAGAGTTGATGTATTTAAAAATGTTGCACTTTTTTTCTATAAAAAATAATCAGTTAGGTGTTTGAAAATGAATACATTTAATGGGATTTTTACAATTTAATGTTATTCCTGAGATTTAGTTTATGCTCTCTGCCTTGTAAAAAAAAATTAAAATTTTTTTTTTTTAATGAAAATGTTGCTTTTATCAAAAAATAGGAAATCTCCACGGTCAGCTGCTTCTCCACTTCTGATCACTGGTCCAATGCGTCTCACATAGAAAGAATGAATCGCATTCAACTATTTAAAGTCATCATGAGGAAGTGACTAGTGGCTGACTAGATACATTCTGACTAACAAATTAAGAAATTGACATTTCTTACAAACAGCATTGTTTACATCTGTCACACAACATGGAAATGGCTGGTTTGTCCCTTAGACAAATAAAACTGTGTTGCATGCTGTTAAAACATGTTAAATAAAGGATAGCATTATGATAATATGGTTGTAAATGTAATTTTACTTATCAACTTAGTATCTAAATAATGCAAATGAAAACAACAGACCATAAAATATAAGCAATCACTGTAAAACCAGACGAAGCATGTAATTTAATACAATTATAATTAAACTAATCAAAAAGACCCACTCGCATTGTCATTGTGTTTTGTCTCAGAAGACTAAAACTTACTAGGACTTGGCACAAAAAAAATTAACAACGTTAGAAAGGTAAACAGCAACAAATTTTGGCACTAATGAGAAAATCACACAGTAAATTGCAGCACAGTCCAATCATAGCGAAACATGGACTCAGCCAGCAAATAAAAATAATATGACAGCAACAATGATAACAGCCATTCAACATCTATAATAATGATATAGATTAGGGATCAACCGATACTGATAATCTATGAACTTTTAAGCCGATAGCGATAAATGTACAGAGTATCAGTAAGTTATCATTTGGAAAAAAGAAACAATTCCTACACAAATCTGCTGTTAACTGAACATGTTTATTATTTATTTATTTTTGCAATTTTTTTATTTTTTATTAAGTGGTAAATGCACAAAATATACATGCCAGTCAGATATTTCCTCTCAGTGAGCACTTCCTGTTGTCCGGGTACTAGAAACTGCAGGTTCTGCAGTACGCTCTGATCCACCACACGACACAGAGTGACTGGTAGGCGGAGCGCTGTGTGCTTCCTTCCTGCCGGTAACCCGATTCTTGTGCCCCCAAGAGCCAGTACGCCCTAATGCGGCCTCATGTTCCGCCACTGGTAAAAGAGCACCAGTTACATTCATATTTTCTAATGATTATATCTTCTACAAAGTGGGGACTACTTTTCTTAAGGCATAGTTTGAAGCTGACAAGGTAGGGCTTCCGTCAGGTTTTTCAGTTCCTACTAGTGACAGCTGTGTGAGTCAGACAACAACCTATCAAATATCGAAAGACTTGGGTCTGTAGACGATCCCATGGGTCTTGAAAATCATGTTGTATATACCTTTAACTGCGTACCAGAGAGGACATTTAAATCACATAACTAGAATACAGGGCAGATATTCAGAAACACATTTCTAAAAACAGTCAAAATCCCATAGAAAAACCAAGCAATTGTAATGAAAACAATGGTCGTTGCTTTGTGAATGTTGCACTCCAACTGTGATTAAAACAAACACTAAAGTTTGGTGCACACGTTAGAGCCAAGCATGATCTGAGAATAAATGAAATTAGGTGTAAAAGAATACCTACACAAGCAATAATGAAGATCATTTAGAACAGAAAGGTAAAGTTTTAGCAATATAGTTTCAACTAAAAAGCATTGGTTTTAGAGTCAAAAGTCCATCTTCTTCAGTGATTGACAGGGATGAAAATAAATGTGTAAAATAAAAAAAAAGAAAGAAAAGAAAAATTGTTGGGGATTAATGAATGAATGTACATCTAGTAACAGTTTAATTAGTAAATCTACCATGTTTTAATTTCAACGGTTGAAAAGGACTTCAACTTAAAGATTTACTCAAACACAATATTGAAACAAAGGTGGATAAAAAGTTGGACTTCAGCGTTTATAAATCCTTTCTAGTAAAGGATCATGGGAAATGTAGTTCTAGAACTGATTGGGATCTATCCTTTTGCCTATCCAAGTTACAGAACAATAAATGCCACTTTAAAAAAAATATATATATATATATTTTGCAGGGTTTCAGTTCTATCACCTGGGACACATTTTATCAATCAACATTTCCATTGCAGTATTGGAAAGTAAGAGATCAATTGTCAGGAATGAATTTATTCGTTAATAGAATCCAACCTACAAAATAAGATTTGCCTATAGAGTGCATATAGATATAAAACGGCAGGAACTGGCTCCAGAGTCTTGCACAAAGCAAATACCAATGTATGTTTATCCATTCTAGAAGAGCAGGTTACTGCACAGCTTCTTGTTCCAGCAGGCCCTCCCCCACACCTCTTAGGACTGCTAATGAATTTCAAAACCACAAAAGAGGGAAAAGCTAGCTGAACTGATCTCATACAGAGCCATGATATAGTGTTTACTACAGATAGAAGACCCATGTTAAAAAGATTTATTGTGTACAGCAAATATATTTATACTAAATTGAATTAAAAAGGGACAGCACTATCAGACAGCCACATGCAGATTTTTACAATCTTTTGTCTTTCCCAGTGTGCATATTACATTAACAAAACCTCAGATTTAGGGTTACTTATCTATAACCATTTCATTATCACAGAGAAATGACATTCTGTGTCTGGTCTGTGAAAGCAGTTAAAACAAATAACAGAGTGCAGGGCTTGAGCACTGCCAACCTTTGATGCTTTACTTGCCATCATATACCAGCATGTATACGGCAATTTCAATAATTTGTTCGAGGGATGGAAGTGCAATAAATGTTATTTTAGTTTTCAATTTCACAAGCTCCGCAGTATCCTTTACAGAGTAGAGTGACAGAATCAGGGTGCCTGGTCCCAACTTTGGATCCAGAACAGAACTTCCTATTGCCTCCATCCCTCCTTAATGCCACCTGCAACCTCATGCAGCTACCGCAGCACCCAAGCAATATTTTCCCTCCCTGGTGTCATGTGACTACAATGTCTCAGGTGTGAACAGGGAGAGAAGGTGTGTTAAATTTGGGGTTTTCACTCTTACATTCCCTCATACTGGTCACTGGAAGTTCAACATGGCAAAGAACTCTCTGAGGATCTGAAAAAAAAGAATTGTTGCTCTATATAAAGATGGCCTAGGCTATAAGAAGATTGCCAAGACCCTGAAACTGAGGTGCAGCACGGTGGGCAAGACCATACAGCAGTTTCACAGGACAGGTTCCACTCAGAACAGGCCTCACCGCGGTCGACCAAAGAAGTTGAGTGCATGTGCTCAGCGTCATATCCATAGGTTGTCTTGGTTGAAGGGGTATTGGGTCCGCCTGTCAATTCTCAGACCATACGCCGCACACTGCATCTAATTGGCCTGCATGGCTGTCGTCCCAGAAGGAAGCCTCTTCTAAAGATGATGCACAAGAAAGCCCACAAACAGTTTGTTAAAGACAAGCAGACTAAGGACATGGATTACTGGAACCATGTTCTGTGGTCCAATGAGACGAAGATAAACTTATTTGGATTAGATGGTGTCAAGCGTGTGTGGCAGCAACCAGGTGAGGAGAACAAAGACAAGCGTGTAGTCTTGCCTACAGTCAAGCATGGTGGTGTGAGTGTCATGGTCTGGGCCTGCATGAATGTTGCCAGCACTGGGGAGCTACAGTTCATTGGGGGAACCATGAATACCAACATCTACTGTGACATACTAAAGCAGAGCATGATCCCCTCCCTTCGGAGACTGGGCCGCAAGGCAGTATTCCGACATAACGACCCCAAACACAACTCCAAGACGACCACTGCCTTGCAAAAGAAGCTGAAGGTAAAGGTGATGGACTTGCCAAGCATGTCTCCAAACCTAAACCCTATTGAGCATATGCAGGGCATCCTCAAAGGGAAGGTGGGGGAGCACAAGGTCTCTAACATTCACATACTTTGTGATGACATGGAGGAGTGGAAGAAGACTCCAGTGGCAGTGGTTAAGACAGTGCTTGAAAATAATGGTGGCCACACAAAATATTGACCCTTTGGGCCCAATTTGGACTTTTCCACTTAGGGTTGTATTCACTTTTGTTGCCAACAGTTTATAGACATTAATGGCTGTGTGTTGAGTTTTTTTGAGGGGACAGCAAATTTACACTGTTATACAGGCTGTACACTTACTACTTTACATTGTAGCAGAGTGTCATTTCTTCAGTGTCACATGAAAAGATATAATAAAATATTTACATAGATGTGTACACGCTTTTGTGAGATACTGTACCTACTCTGCAAAGGACAAGAATCAATGAGCATTTGTAATTTTGCTGTACAGCCCCAGCTCTGAGAAGGGTAATAGTGTGTGCCAGAAGGCCTGCAGGTAATCTGCACTCACACTGACCAGGATTTCCCAGTTACAAAACCATGACATGGTGTCATGCATTTTGAACAGTAAAACTAGTTGTACTTATTTATGTTTCAGGCTTTCCAGCCCAAATTTTAGGAACCAGAGTAAAATACACTTTGACAGACAATGTTACCCTTTTATTGTGCACAAAAGTTTTCAACCAGACTTAAACCTTTAGAGGTCAGCAAGGATTAACCTTTAAAATACCAATTCCTGTTTCACCGGGTCTACAAGTATTAACCATTTATGTGTGCGCTTGCCAATGTTGCATTAATTAACCTTATCTTTTGCCCATTGACTCCTTTGGAGATAGAAACAAAACCTTTCATCACAATGTTCCATTGTCTCTGGGTAAGTAGAAACCCAGGGTGACTCACTGCATGGTTTGGTTACAAGTAAATCTGACACTATAATACTGATGATATTTTAAGGTAATGTAATTTAATATGCCCCCAAATATTTTTAAAAAATGTACATCTCATGCTACACCATATTTTCCCCATTTTATTAAGCATACATGGTAGTGAAGGGGTTATACTCTCCATACCTGACCTCAATGAGATGCTGTCAATGAGATCACAGGACAAGCAGTGTTGTGTAAACACTGTCTTAGTCAGCAGCTAACACTTTATCACATGGATTAAGAGTTGATACAAAATATCCAAAGTCAGCATAAGAAAGGATTTAAAAAAAAAATGGCACCCCAGGCTGTAAATCTATTAGAGAAACTCTCTGAGAAACAACATTTATGCGTTTTATATGTTTTGACTTAAATAATTAACTTTAGTTTCATATCATAAATGTTGTATAGATTTGAAAAAATAAAATAAAAATGTTACCTCTGCTTTCTCTGTGCCACCTCAAACAATTCTTCCTTCTTGTGGTTATTGTACTGCAGTACATGATGCCACAGCTCATGCACACGCAGACCTGACAGTAGGTATATTGCTATATGTATTTGTCATACGTGTCCCTGTTGTGCGCAGAAAGACGCATACTATGCCAAGTGTTTTTCACCATTATCATTGTAAGAATAGTTTCTCCATGTGCCTGCTGACCTAACTTAGAGCACTTCCCTATTTCTTGTTTGATGTTTGAGCGTGTCCATTGACGTATATGTCCTCAGTCAGTGAATGAGGTTCTAATACGGACAAATTGCATATTGATATAGTGAAATGGAAAATTCCGGTTTAATAATATCTGGAAGACTAGAAGTAACCCAGAACAGTGAGACAGTTTACGTCTTCTATTAATCAGACCATTTTCCCGTAAGGAACATTACACCATCAATCAGAGCTCAAACATACTGATTAACAAGGGAGGGTCTGACTGAGTACGTTTGCTAGAAAGAAATGATTTGCTACCATCACAATTTGAATGCTCTTTACGGCTAGCTGCCAAACAAATACTATTTTAGAACTATATAGTTGGATATTTTCTGGTCATTAATATCTTCCACTTGTTTACTTTACCCCCTTAATGACAGAGGCAATTGTGCAAGTTTTGATCAAAACAAAACCTGTAATTTAAGCTATGTGTCTTTTCAACCATAATTTACCTCTTTCATATTAAGTGCACCCACACTTCTTGCATCCAATTTTGTTCAGAAGAAAAAGGGCTTTAATTTTGCATCAAATATTTATACATGAAACATAATTTAATATGCATAAAATAAAAAAAAATAAAAAAAAGTTTGAGAAATAATGAAATGTTTTGCATGGCATTTTAAATTGAAAATGTAATGATAATGTTCGCTTTTACTGCAATAAAATATACATTTGTGTTCAGCAATGTCTCACGAGTACAAAAGTACACCCCATATACAGGTTTTATCGGGTTTTCAAAAGTTACAGGGTTAAATACAGGACTTTCAGCAAAGGGAAAAGATTGCTTATTACCTAAACAAAGAAATTAACGCATGTAATCTGTCAAAATAATACTTTAAATTGCCTGTTTACAATGCCTTATAACGACAAAAACAAACAAAAATCATATTGTTATGCAAATGCATTACAAAAATAAAGAATTATAAAAAAAATACAGGACTTTCCCCTTTTCAGTTTTCACACATTGAAATTGCCAGATTGGTTATGTTGCCATGGAGACCATATAGCAGCCCAGGAATGAGAATTACCACCATCATAAAATACTATTGGGAAGAGTAAACAACCGAAGGTATTAAAATGGGGTATGTCCAGTCTGTAGTAGCCACTGACCAAAGTTAGGGTTCATATTAGTTTTTTTGCATTTTTCACAGAAAAATGCACTTTCACTGATACGCTTTTCAAACTCATATTTGTGTTCAGCAAAGTCTCCAGAGTACCACCCATGTAAAGGTTTTAAATGATGTTGGAAAGTTATAGTGTCAGTATAGGGCTTTCCCATTTCAGTTTGCTAGGCCTATGTTGCCTTTGAGGCCACATGGTATCCCAGGAATGAGATCTCGATCCATTAGGCGTTCTATGCTGCCCTGCAGAGTTAAAGCACAGTAGGACGACACTAAACTGAAGGGGTTTTTAACAAGACAGCTTAAAAATAAGTATAACAATTGTAAAGTATAAAAGTATAACTAGGGTCAGGTCACATTCCACAGCAAACATAAGTAGGGAATGTTCTATTTCAGTTATTAAAACATAAAATAAATTGGGGGAGGGAGAAAAGAGACGGCTGGTAGGAAAAATGTATCGAATAGGCAATTTTATCAGAGAAAATATTAAAAAGTACTGCACATTTTGCAATTAATCTATATTTATCACATATTTAAATTAAAATTTGCATTCTTACTTCTGTGTGTATTTTGTTTTATGCATGCATCTAAGTAAATACCTCATTGCATGGCTTATTCTTGCTCTATAAAAAGGTGGCCGTCTGAATTACTCTTTGGTCAGAAGCATAGTGTGCATTCATGAAACCAGATATCCTATGCAAGCACCAGGCATCTTAAAAATGTACTCTGGAACAGCTTCAGACCATCAAAGTCTGCACTCTCTTAGTGGATAAGATGATCATCCCCATTGAGCAAGAATACGCCAGGAGATGCACTGAATAGACTTATGTACTTCTATGTGTTCATTACAAAATACACAATGTGCTCTATTGCATGAAACACTATTTTCAGTGATTATAAATAAAAAATAATAATAATAATAATGACAGCTTCCATTAAAGGAACACTCCAAGGAATCAAACTACTAAAGCATACTGTAATGGTGATGGTGTCAGGAATCCCAGCCTAAGTAGTCAAACCATTTTCTAACAGTATGAATTCTTTGCTGGGATCTGCCAGATGTCGCTCCCTGCCTCCTCACAGCCAGAAGCTCTCTTCACTGAGATAAGCAAAGCAGCACATGACTTAGCTCCGCAGGGCTAATGAAAGCTTTCACCAGGATCTTAAGGCTCTCAGTTTTGAATGTTAGTAGTCAGGGACTGGCACCCAGCGGACCCCAGTTAAGAAGCAATTCCGTTAGAAAAAAAAGTTTGACTACATACATTGCAGGAGGCACCAGTGCATTCCCACCACTATAACCACTACTGTAGTTAAAAAAAAAAAAAAATAGTAAGCGTCATAAGGAATGTCTATGTTGTGTGAATATTTTTGGCAACCACTTGTGTAGCAATTAGCAGAAGAAGGACAATACGTGTTATGTATACTATTATACCTTGTTAACATTGACATGGTGCCAAGTGAATTTTATAATAGTTATACCAGTACGGTTAGTATCTCAAACCATACTTTGTAGCAATCATGGATCTGTGAATACAAGCAAGTTTACTGACTTAGCAAAACTAATTTTACAAACCCGTAGTTCTTAAAAATGATGCACTTTTTGCAATTTGGATCTTAACTGGCAAAAAGGTATGAGATAATAAGAGGTTAAGATTATTGAATAATCACATGGGAGAAGTACTCTTGTGCTAAATTAGATGACAAGCAGTTCTGTAACTGTTGGGCAAACTATTGCATTCAGGCTGGATTGTTACTGTGTAAACAGAAGCTAAGTCATATCAAGAAATCCAAAACGGTCATTACAAAGCTGATAACTGGTTTATTGCTAACTAACCTGGACAGCATGCATGCTGATAACATTCTGCTAATAGGTGAACTCATATTTTAGAAGAAATATTCACCAAATCAGACTTGATGAGGAAACCTATGCAAAACATTACGTTGTTACCCTTTACAAGGACCAGTTCTGAAAGATTATCAATCATTCAAACACTGCGTTAATAACTAGATAATGAAACAATGCCTATATGATAACCATTTTTAACATTCAAACCTATGCCTGAAATAAAGATATTTATAAAATAAAATGCAAAGGGTGATGCAAAGTTATACATACTTCAAACACCATGACCACTTCAGTGATTTAAAGTTGGAGGATGTATGCACAGTGTTTCGCTATGAAATGCTGTACATACTTTAACCATTCTGCTGTAACTCCAACTTCAACAGGGTCCTTGGGACATCATTAGCTAGCCCAGAACAAGAGTTCCATACTGGCTAAAGTCAATTCTGTGCAGATTTTCATGCAGCTGATGCCGTTTATGAATGGTGACTGGATTGTGTACCCAGGGGGGGATACTCCAGGCATAATCAGTTCAATGAGATGAAATGGTTATAGTATCCCCAATGTTCCTTTAAAGATTTAGCATATGAAATTATAATCCTGTGCAATGTAAAGCCAGGGCAAACATTGCAAATAAATAGGAGAAATAAAAACGTTGTCTTTTGTTGTTTATGCGGACCCCCAGTTGCAAAGGATAGAGCTTATAACAAGGATTGTCAGGGACCCAAGATATGGGCACCAAGTAGCAGGATAAAGAGGTGTGGATTTCAACATTTAAATTTTACATTTGCACACCTCACAAATGCATATTTGTTAAATCTAGGGGATAGGTAATAATATTAAAAACCATGGGAAGTGATGTTTCCCCTTTAAACAGGAAATACGTCCTCTAACATAACTGTGATATAGGCAAAGGAACGGAAAACTTGCACAATTGTTTATAATATTTCTCACCAACATTATTCAACATTCATTAATTAACCATGTCATAAGCACCTTGTGAGGTGGGCACAGTGCTTATTGACAACTCTTTACGTGGAGACTTTTGGACAATCCACCTAAAAATCTGACTTGAGTGGACTTTCTATATTTTGTGCTCAAACATGCACAAAAATACAGTACTGCTGTAACTCCTGGTAGGCATAAGAGAGAGGAAAGAAATGCTTTCCTGTAAGGAGTTCTAGCAAGGAGTCTCTAACTTACAGACTAAGGAATTCAATGGACACGTGTGTGTGTGTGTAAGTTTCTGCTCAAAACCTAAGATCACCATGATGACAAGTATACTTTAAAAACTCAACCGTGGTTGAGAAACATTCGCACATTTCTTTCCAGTTTTTACTGCTTGGACCATAACATTTCTCAGAATGCAGGTGATCCCATCCCCTTAATGTGTGCCTGTTTGTTCGTATTCCTATAAATCCTTTAACAACTATTAATCAGCTGACAACTATGTTAAAGACTTTAGTGCAGGCCTTTGGACTGGAGTCCCCTTTACAAGAAGAGGGGACTATAAGTAAATTATTATTGTTTTAGCACAGGAAGGAATAACTATAGAACCACCATGAAGAGGGTTTTTTAGGAAAACTATTAAAGTAGCATGACTAGCTGTTCTTGGGAAAAGAAAGTATTAGAATGTAAGCAGGAGCAAGAGGGAAAAAACAAAAGACAATCTTCCTTTTTCAAGACTTTGTATATAAGTGACACAGAAGTATATACCACATACTCTAGACTGTAAATAGCGTCCTTGTCAACTGTTCATCTACGCCTAAATTTGTCCTAAACTTTATATTTATTAAAGATGGAACTTATCCTGCTATACCATACAACCGTAAATCAAAATGTAAAGACTACTAAACAAAAGTACAAAGGCCTCTTATTGTCCCCTTTACGCTGATCAATTAAACGTCTTTACAGCGCTGTGTTTTTAACCACATTTAAGGATCATAAGACCTATTTGGTCTTATGACATCTTATTATTGTGTTGGAATTTCATTGAATGCGAGTATGTCATGGCGATTGTATCTTTATGAAATACTCAAAAATGTGAGTCTGACAACAAACCTTCTTTAAATATCAATCCATATTATATAATTCAGAATTAAATGAACAGGCAGAAAAAAATATATCAAAGGAAATCTAATCATTCAATATTGTACAACTCCACAATGTAATTTAGTGGTTATGATGCAAGGACTCTGTGTCCACAGTTCACAAATACAAGTGGTTTGCAAGCAAGATAAAGAATCCCTAGCACCCAAAGCCTTATGCATCCAAGATATTTTAAAGAGGGAGCAAGACTTGTGTTTGTTTTAATTTAACCATTTATTGTTGTTTTCAAAGGTGATTTTTTAATATGACTTCAGACAGTATAAAATTATGGAAAGGATATCGCATTGGCAAGTTATTGCGTAGCATTTCTGAATATGTTGATATGAAGATAGCAAAAATAGATTAGAAGCTGTTAGTTTAAGTGTTAGAAGAAGAAAAAGCATAAACACATTTGCACTGACCATGCAGTAGATAGCCTTATCAAAATAACCAGGATTTTTGCAACTATAGTAAAAGACACTGTAACTAAATTATTGAGGACTCTAACATAAAGAATCACTATAGGGTCAGGAACACAAACATGCATTCCTGACCCTATAGTGTTAAAACCTCCTTCTAGACCCCCTGCTCCCCCACCGTCAACTCCATAAATATAGTAAAATCTTACTTGTATTCAAGCATGAAGCTGCTGGCTCTGCCCTTGTCTACTGACATCATCAGAAGTGTGGTACTGAGCCGATCACAGTGCTTCCCCATAGGATTGATTGAGACTGTCAAGGAGGCAGATCAGGGGCAGTCAAACACAGCCCTGGCCAATCAGCATCTCCTCATAGAGATTAATATCGATGAATCTCTATGAGGAAAGTTCAGTATCTGCATGCACAGGGTGGAGATACTGAATGTTGTGATGCACACTAGTCAAGACTGAGATAGGAAACAGTCCTAGCAGCCATCTAAGGAGTGGCCAGTGGAGTTATCATTAGGCTGAAATGTAAACACTCCATTTTCTCTGAAAAGAGTGTTTGCAGCAAAAAGTCTGAAGGGAATGATTCTACTCACCAGAACAAATACAATAAGCTGTAGTTGTTCTGGTGACTATAGTGTGTCTTTAACATGGCTCCAATGTAAATTAAGTATAGCAGTTCAAACACATTTGCATAGCACTCAAAAGTTTAAAAGACATTTAACATGAAAGGGGAAAGAAACTGAAACACTTCGGCAACTGAGTTAACAGTTCTTATATGAGAGAGTAAGACGAATCCAGTGTGGTTTTAACAAATATATTAAAACAAAAGTTGTTATACTAGAGAGAGCCTAAATGGCAGCAAAACAGCTTCTGGACAACTGTGTGTGTAATATTGAAATAGGTGAGCAATGCCAATTAACAAAGACAGTGTACTGGGAAAGGAGATGATCCTGAAAGGACACAAGAGGGGAAAAAAAAAAATAATAGATAATTCTTGCCTCATATCCCTTTGTACAATTTTCACCTGGCTCTATAGGTATAGGCACCCTCCCCCCCCCATCTTATCTCCTAAGCACAAGGTGCTATCTAAAACCAGTGAGAACACAGGATTTGACCACTTTTATCGATTCTATTATAAAAGCCCAGTTACTGCATCTCCCATTCACATTGACAATAGGAAAAGGCTTCCAGTTAACTTTTTAAAGCTACAAAATAAAAAGCTACAAAACAGAGAAAGTAGGTCTATGTAGTTTTGAAAGCTTACACTGCTGGAATGCATTCAGTCTGGACCAAGAAATAGTTACATTGGAGAAAAATATAAACGAGCAGACAGATCAATGCCTTCAGCTGTTACAAAGCAGTAACATTTCCTGATGGCTGGACAGCTCCATAACATCAGATAAAGAGTGGTTCAAGTTGTATATTATGAATACAGATTATAGCATTAAGGTATGCAAATTGTATGCTGACTGGAATAAAATATATCATAATTCCAAAACATTACATCATTTTAGAGTTACAAGATAGTTCTTGTGGCTAACTCTTCATACATTATGCAGTCACAAGTAAAAGAAAATCTATTCCAATCCAAATATTAACATTCACAATGCATATTTTATAAAAACATTTACTTGTGAATGGTTTTTGAACCTACAAAGCCATAAGTGAAATTGGATCAAAACGGTAATATGGTTAGTTTGTGTAATATTATACAATAAAATCAGCACTTAAACGAATACACAGTTACCAGTACACATTTTCTAAAGTAATAGAAAGAACAGCTTATTTGCAATGAAGCAGCATAAAATCATGAACTCCTTTAAGGTAAATACCTGAACTTCATTTTCAACTAGCCACTAGATTACAAGAAGTAGTAAAATCTACAAAACAAAATGTATATAAACAAAATGCCCAAAAAGGGACACTATAGTCAACAAAACTAACTTAATGAAACCGTTTGCCTATGAAGCATCACTTCTCAATTTACAACAATTTAGGAGTTTTTTTGTTTCGGTTTATGCAGCCCTAGCCACAGCTCCCCTGGCTGTGACTGACACCAAAACTGCTTCCCTAAGCTAAGGTTGTTTTGGCGACTATAGTGTCCCTTTAGTTTTTATTGACTGCTGTCCAGAATTAATAACAACCCCCAAAAGAATATCAATCTAGTAAAAGTACAATTAAAAAACAAAAACTAACTCCATATTGAACACATTTTTGCCAGCACTAGCCAACTATTTCAATTTGAATATACTCACTTAAATCATCAACAGAATTTTAAAGTTTATCGAACAGAGGCAAAAACATAAAACTGAAAGATATACCATAATGAAAAACAAAAGGCCATCACACTAATCAAATGACAGTACAACTAAAACAGGTAAGTACATATGTGGGATGCAGCCAACTATTTAAATGTATTAATGCCTGCAGAGGACATTACAATTCTCAATGCTCTGGTCTGTGAGGACACATATGAACTGTATGCATTGTTATTATTACTGCCATTTATATAGCACCAATTTATTCCGCAGCACTTTACAATATTATAAAGAGGGCATTTAACAATAACTGAGAGGTTACAAATTGTTCCAGGAATAGGTAGATGAGGGCCATGCTAGAACAAGTATGCATCAATTATGTCCACCGTTTGTTTTTGGTGTGTATGCACACTATCAATATGTATTTGCAATTACTATACTGTTCATAGTTGTTTAACAAGCAATGCTATGCATTCTTAGACATACTGATCATATCAAAATACAAAGGGGATCTTTCATTAGTAGCATGGTGCCAAGATTTCACATTGATTTGAACGCAATTGTTATACATTTCCATTTGATAACATTGCTGCCTTGCAAATGCTAAACGGTCCAGATTGCCAAAACAGCAAGTGCAGTCAATAATCACAAGCAGCACACACAAACAGGCTGACACACGCAGGCTCTCAGTTCTACAACTCCCGTGATGTTTTGTAAGGTTTCTGGCTGGCAAGGCATGCAGGGAGTTGTAGTTCTCTAGACTAGCTCTCTGGTAAACAGACTGTAAGGACCCGAACAGCGAGCCCAGGGAGATGAGGAGACGGCCGCCGGCAGCCAATCAGCGATCACACCGGCGCTCACTGCCACCTCTCAGAGCAAGAATCAAGACAGAGCCAATCGAAAGGCGGCGGGGGCGGGGCTTGCTTTCATTCAGGAAATCCATCTGGTGCACTTACTAGCAGAGCCATGAGGAGAGCGGCCGGGCAGATACAACTCAAACACAATGGAACATCACGGCAACAAATGTATCACTGCACCGCAGCCAGAGAACACATACACACAATGGAACATCACTGCAACAAATGTATCACTGCACCGCAGCCAGAGAACACATACACATGGGGAGATCAGAGCTGGACACAACACAAACACGCTGTACCTGGAGATCAGAGCTGGACAGAACACAAACACGCTGTACCTGGAGATCAGAGCTGGACACAACACAAACACGCTGTACCTGGAGATCAGAGCTGGACACAACACAAACACACTGTACGTGGAGCTCAGAGCTGGACACAACACAAACACACTGTACGTGGAGATCAGAGCTGGACACAACACAAACACACTGTACGTGGAGATCAGAGCTGGACAGAACACAAACACGCTGTACGTGGAGATCAGAGCTGGACACAACACAAACACGCTGTACGTGGAGCTCAGAGCTGGACAGAACACAAACACACTGTACGTGAAAATCAAAGCTGGACACCAGCTACTGACCAAGCTTCCAGCCTCCCAAGACAGGTAGTCCACAACCCCTAAAAGACCTGAGCTATCACTAGGTTAGGATGAGCCCACCGCCCTGATAATATGCATTAGATTACTATGCTGCTATATAATCTGGAATGAAAATAATCCCCTCTAGTGACTTACACAAAAGCAAATGCACACATACACAGATCTATAACATACAAGACACGCTAACTGCCCCTACTGGTACACATTCTGAAGATATAAGCATTCAACATGCAAATGAGAGCGTACACAAACTTTAATCTCAGCGGTGAAAGTGCAGGGCTGTCCATCAATTCTCCCAGGAAGCCACCAAGCCCATGGCGTTTGACAACTATGTCAGAAACCTGTCAAGACAGCTAGAAGACCACAGCTGCTCTTCCCATGCAAAAACGGTACCTCAAGGTCACCCTTTGATTTTTAAATAAACTACACCGATATTACACTAAAATAATAATCCCATGCATGTTATTTGTATAAAACACCATTCTGGGCAGCTGTGCTACTGTCTATACACTTGGGTGACTCAGCCAGTCATGAGACTCATCTAACCTTCTACAACACTGCGTCGCATCTCATAAGTTCTTTAACACCCCCCCCCCACACACACACACACACACGTCACGTGTCCTTAAGGGGTTAAAGGCAAAGCAAGGGTTGCTGACAATTGTAGTTTAATTGTCAACGTTCTTCTTACAAAGCCAACAGCTAAAGTACAACTTACAGCAACCCAAGTCCAGCATTACCCTTAAAGCAAATTGGGAGGATTGGGCAGAAAGGATAAGCTTATGCAGCAAAACTTTTTCCAAACAAAACAAATACACCCCCCCCAAAAAAAATAAAAACAACGAGCACATACAATAAGATTCATCTATCACAGTACATCAAACTTGTGTGGGTGCCTAAATAGATGTCATTAGAAAGAATCATGAAGATAAAGCTATTCCTAAAGAAGAAAGGAGGATGTGCACTTCTAATCCGAGCAGCTCTGCAAGAAGTAATTGCCATGACTTCAAAATGAATTTCACAATTGAAGGCAAAATAGCCCAAGTGAAAACATATCGATTGGAAGAATATTTCTAATTAAGCTGTTTTGGTCTAGATTCTGAAATTCATTTTGAATTCCTGACGTCTCTCACTTGAAAGCATGGCTACTGACAGCTTCAGCAATTTCACCAAACAAGATCCGTAAGAACACGTGGGTTGTCAGATGCAAAATACAAATTGTAACGGACGTTAAAAACATTACAGACAGCTAACATACACAATACATTCTAACAATAATAAAAAATGAAACAAAGTCCAGCTAGTTCCTAACCAAATTAATAACTGAATAATAATATATATTTAAATAATTTACACACACACATATTATATAAAAATGTACATTTCTTTCCTGTCATTTTTTTTCCTCAGTGACATTAGATGTTGGCAACCCACATGGATGACACTATAGCCAATACATACCGTAGAATGATGTCAATTAGAGACATAAAGTATCTAGACAACCAGACACTATACTATATTTTTTTAGTATAAAAGTATTTGTCACACCATGGGCACAGAAACCAACATGTAAAATACTCCTATCAATAAATGACTCATTCATAATGTAAACACGAGGCTGTGTTGTACTCATGTAAACAATGTGCATTGGTTAATAAAAGGATAATAAAAGTACAAACAGTATCTGCTCTTAATACACAAATGCTGTGTACTTGTAGCACTGCAGGACTGAACTGTCATTGGTGCAGGTAACTCTTGTATAATAATTCGTTTTAGTAGTAATAATAGTAGATTTTTGCTGTTTTTAATGTAAAAGCTATAATATAATATTATTATTGGGCAGTGTTGGAATATATAAGTTATTGCAGCAATGTTGCTGAGAGTGCCAGTAGTTGCGATCAGCCAGTCAGTCACTCAGGAAGGTAATGACAATGATATTAATAAACACAGTATCAATGTTAGGAGTTCTCCCAGGCAGCCCTGCACGAGCAGCAATAACAAACACAGCAGCCGGCTGCACGCACAGAGCGCTACGCAAGTCCCCCTATTCACAGCCGCGGCTACGCCACGAATGGTTCCCCACTCGCACTTTGACGTAGCGCCTCTACGCCACAGCATGGCGGCTCCCGCCAACTGCGTCCCTACGCCAAGCCTCGCTGACGTAAGGAGACTGCACACCAACAGGCCTTACGCACTCCGTCCGGCGTAAGTGCCTTTCCTGAATCCCAATCTCCTTCGCTGCCAATGGAGGGGAGGGGAGGGCGATAACAATGGATTACATACCGATTCCTCTTCCTTCTCCATCCCCGTCGGCATCTGCGGCACGGCCCGGTTGATGGAGACGCAGTCGTTGAGGTCGGGCATGTCGTTGCCGCGGTAGATGGGCAGCGGTTTGGCGGCGTCTAGCGCCCGCGCTCGGAATGAGAGTTTGCTCATGGCCGCCTCTCCACAGACCGTCCCCACCCGGGCTGGCGAACCCCGCGCTCCGTCACTCGCACTCCCCCAGCGGACTCATGGGGGGCCCCCCGGGGCTCGGTGAGGGGCGGAAGGCTCGGGGTCCGGCGGGCGGCGCTGCGTGCCTAGATCCGGGATTTGTCGGCTCGATCCGCTCCCTGCGCCATGGCAAACATGGCGGACATTACCAAGGCGGCGAGCGATCCCAGCAGCCCCCGCGAGAGCCAGCGGCGGCGGGCACGTGCATGGAGGGAGGGGGAGCTGGAGCACGCCTGGGCCGCGGGAGCGCGCACACACACACACACACAGGGGTCTGGATACAGGGAGGGGAATTACACTATACAATATATAATATATATATAAAATAAATTATAATATATACTGCAAAATAACACAGGGAGAGGAACTACCCTATACTTTATAATAATAAAATAATATATACTGCAAAATAACACAGGGAGAGGAACTACACTATATATAATATAAAATATACTATATAATAATATATACTGCAAAATAACACAGGGAGAGGAACTACACTATACATTATAATAATAAAATAATATATACTGCAAAATAACACAGGGAGAGGAACTACACTATATATAATATAAAATATACTATATAATAATATATACTGCAAAATAACACAGGGAGGGGAACTACACTATATATATAATAATAAAATAATATATACTGCAAAATAACACAGGGAGGGGAACTACACTATACATAAATATATAATATATATATATATATATATATATATAAAATAATAAATTATAATATATACTGCAAAATAACACAGGGAGAGGAACTACCCTATACTTTATAATAATAAAATAATATATACTGCAAAATAACACAGGGAGAGGAACTACACTATATATAATATATAATAAAATATACTATATAATATATACTGCAAAATAACACAGGGAGAGGAACTACCCTATACTTTATAATAATAAAATAATATATACTGCAAAATAACACAGGGAGAGGAACTACACTATATATAATATATAATAAAATATACTATATAATATATACTGCAAAATAACACAGGGAGAGGAACTACCCTATACTTTATAATAATAAAATAATATATACTGCAAAATAACACAGGGAGGGGAACTACACTATACTTTATAATAATAAAAGAATATATACTGCAAAATAACACAGGGAGAGGAACTACACTATACTTTATAATAATAAAATAATATATACTGCAAAATAACACAGGGAGAGGAACTACACTATATATAATATATAATAAAATATACTATATAATATATACTGCAAAATAACAGGGAGAGGAACTACACTACAATATATAATAAAATATACTATATAATATATTAATATAATACATACTATATAATATATTTAATATATACTATATAATACATACTATATAATAAATGTTAATATAATACTATATAATAAATATTAATGTAATATATAGTATATAATAAAATATTAATATAATATATACTATATAATAAATGTTAATATAATACTATATAATAAATATTAATGTAATATATAGTATATAATAAAATACTAATATAATATATACTATATAATAAATATTAATATAATATACTATATAATAAATATTAATATAATATATATACTATATATAATACATACTATATAATAAATTATAATACATACTATATAATAAAATATGTACTGCAAAATAACACAGAGTCTGGATACAGGGAGGGGAACTACACTATATAATACATACTATATAATAAATTATAATACATACTATATAATAAAATATATACTGCAAAATAACACAGAGTCTGGATACAGGGAGAGGAACTACACTATATATAATACATACTATATAATAAAATATATACTGCAAAATAACACAGAGTCTGGATACAGGGAGAGGAACTACACTATATATAATACATACTATATAATAAATAATAATATATACTATATAATACAATAATAATATATACTATATAATAATATACATACTATATAATAAATAATATAATATATATATAAATAACACGGTCTGGATACAGGGAGGGAAACTACAGTATATAATAAAATATTAATATAATATATACTGCAATATAACACAGGGTCTGGATACAGGGAGGGGAACTACAGTATATAATAATTAATACATACTATATAATATACAGATAAATAACACAGGGTCTGGATACTGGGAGGGGAACTACAGTATATAATAAATATTAATATATATATACTGCAAAATAATACAGGGTCTGGATACAGGGAGGGGTGGGAAACTATGTAATAAATACTATATAATAAATATAAAATAAATAATATATAGAAAAAAACACAGGGTCTGAATACAGGGAGGGGGTGGGAAACTATATAATATATAATACATACTGCAAAATAACACGGGTATAATACAGGGAGGAGGGAAACTATATAATACATACTATATAATATATAATAAATACTATATGAAATATACTGCAAAATAACACAGGATCAGAATACAGGGGGGAGTAAAACTATATAATATATAATAAATACTTTATGATATATACTGCAAAATAACATGGGGCAGAATACATGGAGGAGGTGGGAAACTATATAATACATAATACTGCAAAATAACACAGGGACAGAATACAAGGAGGAGGTGGGAAACTGTATAATACTATATAATATATACTGCATAATAACACAGGGTCAGGATACAAGGAGGAGGTGGGAAACTATATAATATATATATACTGCAAAATAACACCGGGTCAGGATACAAGGAGGAGAAAAACTATATAATAAATACTATATAATACATATACTGCAAAATAACACCAGGTCAGAATACAAGGAGGAGGTGGGAAACTAATATAATAAATAGTATATAGTAAATATATATATATATATAGAGAGAGAGAGAGAGAGAGATAGATATAGTAGAAAGGACCGCACTCCAAGGTCTTTGTGATAGTTTTCAAAAAAAATGTAACTTTTATTTAATACATATAAAAGTCAACGTTTCGGCCCCCACACGGAGCTTAAATACAGTCTTATTGAGAAATGAAAAAATAATAGAGAGTTTTTTACTTTAAAAATAATACACACACAAAAAAATTCTCTTTTTTTCATTACACAATAAGACTATTTATTGCACATTAAGTCACTGTGTTATAGTATACACTGTATATGCAAGGATATGGAATAAAAAAAATCTCTGCATAGTACATGTATAAATAACATTAAATATATATATATTATCAACAAAACATATATGAAGAGTCATTTTAGAAATGTTACTTGCCAAGAGTCTTGGAGAACGGATAATCGATATACTCAATTAAAGTAACACTCCATGGCAAATAAAATAAATAATAAAAAAAAAACACTCTTTAGTAGATATACGCCAATGAAAACATCCTGGCATTTACTTATGTATTTTTTATTTTTTTGGGGTATATCTAAAAACAGCATTCAAAAGCTGCAGATGTTTTGTCTGTAGCCTTTGCAAGCCATCCCCTTTTAACCCCGCCCAGAATTTATGTGGCTGTCCAATCACAGACTTCTCTAATGCAGCTCAATAAAAAGTCTTTGCAAGGCAGGTGCTCTGGGCAATTGCTGCCTCTTGAGTTTATCTATACTGCGTTAAATAACTATAAAGTAACAGGACCGGTTGTCTGATTAACAGATAGGAGTAACTAAGTTAATTTATCAATGTACCCATTTTCATTGAAATCTGCACTTTTAGTAAAATGAAAAACAGAGGGCCCACTCTTCAGCAAGCTGAATTGTGTCCCTTTAAACCCATTAAGACAGCCTCTGCCACAATGGGATACTACTAATGCAATGGATATTTTCTAAAACGTAATTTGTTAGTTTTGTAACCTTTTTTAAAGCTATAGGGTTTCTCCATCTTGGAGTATGCTCTGCATATGCTGACATTTAAGTGTCCGTGTTACACACTTTATAGCAGGGGTCCTCAAACTCCAGGCCCCCAGATGTTGCTGAACTACAACTCCCATGATTCTCTGGCTATCTATGTAATTCAAAGACTCATGTGAGTTGTAGTTCAGCAACATCTGGAGGGCCGGAGTTTGAGGACCCCTGCTTTATAGGAACACTAAAAGCACTATAAGCATCGTAACTACATTATGTAGTGGTTATGGTGCCAAGAGTACCTTGCCCCCCATCAGCTGATGCTGTCAGCCAATGAGTTAGCTCTGCTCTCACTAGCAGTAGGCACCAGCCCCCAGTAGACACCAGATAAGAAGAAGATAAGAATTCAAACAATTTGAATATTTACATGAGGGGCGCCAGGACACTCCTATAAATATAAAATATTAAACATAGCGTAATACAATAGAAAACTCAAAGTAAAAGGGAATCGGTTAATATTGCACTCACAAACGGACAATTGATGATAGTAGATCTTTAAAATCAGTAGGTGTATTCTTCTCCATTTTTGAATCTCCGTTAGTATCAAATCATATAAAAAGAAAGAAAGGAAATAGACACATAGAGTAGATCTTCACTTTAAAAAGGAGCTCCATATTTTATTGCACTTACAAGATAAAAAAAATATTGAAAGCATATCACCAAACACTTCACTGGTTTCTCTAGCAATCTGGATTCCAAGTGGGAGTTAAATATAAATCTTCATAAAATTAATAAAGATAAGCTCATGGCTCCATAGCCACTAGAGTGGGCCTTGGTGGTTTTGGTACTCAGTGTTATTTTAATCGAGACACAATAAAATGAATAAACTGTAAATGGAGGCTCTGATATGAAAGTGAGGGTGATGATGTTAAGTGAAAATGACTATGTTTGAGAAAACAAATAAAGGAGACTGTGGTACCCGTCATACAAGCAGGAAAATAGAAATAATCCGTATTACTGTAAAATGGGCAATGGATAGAAACTTATACTGTGTAAACAGCAACCACAAAAAAGCGCAAATATATTAACTGAAAATTACGTTTTTTGTTATTTTTATGATGCATTCCCTCTATTGTTTCAATTCTATTTTAAACTGAGGCTCACCCACAAACACAGTTTTTTTGGTGCTGTCAGGGAACTGTAATGATGTATGCATCTGTTTCAATTCACAATTTTCTGTCCAAATTCAAATGTCAAATAACTTTCCAAACCAGAGAAAATAAGCCATGGAGATAATGAACTCCTGAAAGTAAAATAACCAAGAACATGGTTTACTTTATGGACATATGCA